AACTGAGAATGCTCATTTACCTGGGATTAAACCCACTCAGACACTGAACTCATATCCTTATTTAAGGCATGTGATTTAGCAGAAAGCAAAAAAAGCTAACATCTATACAGACAGTTACTACATATTTTGAAAAAAAATTAAAAATTATAAAAGTCAGGAGCCATGAAGTCTCTCAGGCAGGTCGCGTACCGGTCAGGAATTCCAACTCCCTGATAAGTAAGTTTTATGGCTGAGACATCTGGCCTGCTGATAAGTAAGTTTTATGGCTGAGACATCTGGCCTGCTGATAAGTAAGTTTTATGGCTGAGACATCTGGCCTGCTGATAAGTAAGTTTTATGGCTGAGACATCTGGCCTGCTGATAAGTAAGTTTTATGGCTGAGACATCTGGCCTGCTGATAAGTAAGTTTTATGGCTGAGACATCTGGCCTGCTGATAAGTAAGTTTTATGGCTGAGACATCTGGCCTGCTGATAAGTAAGTTTTATGGCTGAGACATCTGGCCTCCTGATAAGTAAGTTTTATGGTGGGAACATCTCCACCTCACTGATAAGTGACGTTTTATGGTGAAAACATCTGGCTTAGTGATAAGTCAGCTTCCCGCTCTCCCTGTAGCATTTTGTAATAGTTTAAATGAACCAATAACCGCGTTTCTGCTTCTGTACCCTGCTTCTGCCCTATAAAAGCTCCCCAAACCCGACCTGAGGCGCGCAAGTCCCCCGAGGAGACTTTGTGCCCACAGGTACCTGTGTACTAAATAAACCTCTTGCTGTTGCAACCCGAAGGCTGGCTTGTCCTCTGTGGTTTTTTTCCCTCCTACACTGGGACCCTCAAGCATGAGTAAGGAATAAACGAGCTTTCCGATTCTCTCCCGGGTGAATGCTTGGTCTCTTAGCTGTCACAAGAATTTTTCCCTAACAGTATTACTTTGTATTTAATTTTCACTTGTCATTGACGCCTAAGAATTAAATGACTCACCACTGTTCAGTGTCTGTATATCACAAAACTTGGTGTCTACTGTTAGGGTTCCAATAGCAGCCCCCCTCTCCCCAACAGGGACCTACAGACTTTGGAGCCTGGAAAAGGGAACTTAGCTGATAAGCACCTTGACCTTTGAGGTCAAGAAGGACAAACTCTGCTGAGAAGGAGCCTGCCTTTCCTCTGACCTCCAAAGATAAGATAAGCAGAGTTCCTCTTATCTTAAGAGGAAAAAGAAGACACTTCCACACCCTAATCCTACCTGCTTCCCCCTCCCTGATTCCACACCCTAAAGCCCCCATATGTAAAGTCTCAGCTCACAACCTGTTAGTGGACATCTTTCCTGGACATCTTTCCCTGACTCCCTTCCCTTCTCCCTTCTTCCCTTCTCCCTTCTCCCTTCTCCCTTCCCTTCCCTCCCCTGACATCTTTCCCTTCCCTGAGGGAAAGGTGCCCCGTGCGAAATAAATCTGTGTCCCACTGAGAATTCCATCTGTGCCTCGGTGCCTTCATCCATCCGCTCGTGCTCTCCATCCGCGCCGCTCGCTCCCGCCCATTCTCTACCTATCATCTACTTGAACACACTAACTGAGCACATTGATTTCACACAGTGGGTGAATTTTTTACAAAGAAAAATATTTGTGGTCAAATAATTCTCAAAATGCTTTAAATGGACTGGGCATGGTGGAGCATACCTTTAGTCCCAGGACTTGGGAAGCAGAGGCAAGTGGATTTCTATGAGTTTGAGGCCAGCCTTGTCTACATAGCCAGTTCCAGGCCATAGTGAGGTTCTGTCTCAAAAAAGAAAGAAAGAAAGAAAAAAACCCTTAAACATGGTCTCCTGTGAGGACAGGAAAGCACTGTGTATACGCTTTGTGTGAGGACTACACATTAGCTGTCTCTTCCTCGTCCTCCTCCTCCCCCTCCCCCTTCTCTTCTTCTTCCTCCTCCTCAGCTTACCTCTCCGAGGTCCACTTGAATTCTAAGACTGATATGACCTCCTCAAATTAAGCATGTCAGTTCTCAAACTGCGTGCTGCAGGCCTTTAATCCCAACATTTGGGAGGCAGGGGCAGGGGTAAAAAGGAATGTTAGTTCTCCCACCAAAGGAATTGCAAATGGAGGGCAGCAGCTGGAGAGAGATTATTTTGGAGGGAAGGTCCTTCTGGTGGAAGCACTTGGCCTTGAAATCTTTATCTACAGATAACAAACTTGGCAGTGGCGGTGACAGCTGCACATTTGCCACATTCCCTGGGCAGATCCCGGCTGGGGGCCCCACACTCCTGAAGCTGGCAGCCACAGCCAGTACAGAGCAGGAGAGCCTGCTCCTCATACACTGAAAGGACTGCAAAAAAGCCACTCTAAGTGTTGGGAAGGGGGCACACTCTTGCCAGGCCATCTTCTGAATTCAACTAGCTACAGAGTGACCCCACCTGATCAAGCCTCTTCTGGACCCTGGGCCTGGTCCGGAAGGGACCACAAACCTTGTGAGGAAGGGAAGTGACTTGACCCAGGAATAGAGGGATGGAAGACCTGAACTAAACACCACAGGCTCCATCATAAGAGCCTAAGGCTGGAGGTTAGGACATGATGTGGTAGTGCCACACTTGCTATGATTAAGTACCTGCTCTATTTCCTCATGAGAAGTTAGACCTTCATATTCACAGGAGGCTTGGAGATGGGAAGGGGGGAGCTGTGCACACCCAACAGGAGGGCAGGGAGGAACAACTTTTCTTTAAAGCCTTATAAACAAACCCTCAGATGACCTAAAGTTCTTCTGGCATCCATCTGCTTTTTTTTTTTTTTTTCTTTCCCTAGAAAAACTACTCTGGAGCTCCTCTAAAGGATTCTGGGCACTGAATGTCCAGTGTCTGGCTCTGGCATCCTGGCCAAGACCAACCTGAGACAGCTGAACTCAGTGGAACTGTTCATCCCTTGTCCCCCAGCCCAGATGGAACCCCCTGTGGTGTTTCTCTTCATACTCTCACCTCAGAAACTGGCACCTGACTCTCCCCAGGGCTCAGCTTCCCCACAGCACAAGCTGTTCATTTCCCCACATTCCTGGAGGACAGGGTCACTAGGCTCCCTGCTCCCCAAGGCCACATCTGAGTTAAGGCACACCTCTGCCCTTGCCCACCTTTCTTCCAGTTATCCCCAAAGGTTTTGGACTCTCTGTCCTGTCCCTTGACCTCATCCAAAGACCTTCCCTCCCACTCCCTTGCAGCCTATTTCAAAAATAGGCAGAAACTGCCTGACAACAGGAATCTAGCCGTACATGCCCTGTCCTAATCTTCCAAGCTCCAGACTCACTGATACCCATCACACACACATGGCTTCCTCAGTAGGGCTTAATCCACTGACCCCCACTGTCTCAGTGTCACCAGCACCTTCGGCCTGATGTCTCCCTGGCCACCTCGGACCCCACATTTCATCACTTCAACCACTCTTGTCCAGTCCTTTAAAAATCACCTTTATCTTCCTGACTGCACCCCTCCCAGATTTGTCCAAGATCCTTATTCTGAGCAGGCCCCACACTGGAGGAAAACAAAGCCCGGGCTGAGGCCTCCAGGGGAAGGGTCACCCGCCTCAGCACTGCCAACCCCTCTGTCTGGTGTAGAGACCTCTAGGCCTAACCCTAATGCTTCCCTCTTTGCATTTCCTAGCTTCCTCCTCAAATCCATTATTATAGAAAGAGAAGTGCATATTAGATGCTAACAACTTTTGCAATGTGATGGTAATTAAGAACTCTGGAACAGGGAAAGCCTAGAGATAGAAATGGGGAAGTGGACAGGAATCTTCCCCTGCCCCAGTGGTTATCCAGGATAGAAGTCTTTGTTTTCCAAAGTAATCACATTCATGTGTAGAAATCTTTGTTGCCTAAGGCTTTTGCATTCCTGTAACCTTTGTATTTCTATTACCTTTGCCACCCTATCATACTTAATTACCATGTATGTGCTATGTACCTTTTGCTTGCATTCCTCATGAGTATAAACACCCTCCAAAACTTGAACAAGGGGTCTGACTCCTTTGATTCCTGTCAATCCTGACAGCTCAAATTAAACTTCCTCTCCTCACCTGACTTCAGCTATTGGTCTCTGTAAACACTCCTGTCCCTAACGAAAGAGGATTCTCTAGGACTCTCCCCTTCGTGACCAGCTGTTTACACTCCCTGTCTCCATTTCCTCCCTCCCTTTCTCCATAAGGTTCTACATGGTTCTACCACCATAATGACCCACTACTGCTGGTGGGCAGCACCGTGCCCCGCCTCCTCTCTGTGATTCCCCCAGCACCCCCATCATTCTCTTTGTCCACCTCCTCCCACAAGTCCTAAGGTTGGGGCTTCTCCAGGGTCTCTTTTAGGCCATTCAATGCTGATGTCTCAAAAATCTAGTCACTTATGTCTACAATTCCAAACTCAATTACTTTCCCTTGAACCCACTTCGTGTGCACGCCCCTCAATCATCCCAATTGATCATTATTTGCTACATTATTTTTGTTTTTGAGACAGGGTCTCTCAGGCCCTCTCTGTAGAGACTACTAAGCTGTCCTCCATCTCACAGAAATCCACCTGCCTCTGCCTCGCAAGTGCTGGGATTAAAGGCATGCACCACCACACCTGGTTTATTTCTATTTTTATGTGTATGAGTGTTTTGTCGGCATGTAAGTGCACTGGAGCTATGGACAGCTGTTAGCCGCCACGTGGCTGCTGGGAACCGAAACAGGGTCCTCTGTAAGGGCATCCTTCCCAAGCCCTCCCGGCCCTAGGTGGGTGGGGTCTCCAGCAGGGCCATAAAGGGACCGCTACCTCCCCTAGCAGTCCCCGCCCCTTCCGTGCACCACGGACCCGCCCCCCAATCGCGTGGTCCCCAGCAGCCAATGGGAACGGTTGGCGGGGCGCCTTCGCTCAAACTCTAACCGCAGGAGCCAATGGCGCACCACAACCCCTCCGCGCGCCTAGTGTTAGCCAATGGGTGCGGCCTGCGTGTCTGGGGGCGTGGCGGTGGTGCGGGGGCGGGGGGCGTAGGTACCCGGCTTTTTCCCACGTCGCTGGTTGTGTGCGACCCCCTCTCTCTCGGCTGTTGTCTGCCCAACCCGCGGAATATGGGTGCTTTGGCCGTCAGGCGCTGCCTCGAGTGGCTGCTGGGCGTCTACTTCGTCTCCCACATCCCCATCACTCTGTTCATCGACCTGCAGGTGGTGCTGCCGCTCGAACTCTACCCAGCCGAGGTGAGGGCCGGGCGTCCCCCCCCCCCCCCCCCCCGCGGTCCCTCCTGCCGGTGCCTAACTTTGGCTCCGTGTCCTTCACCGCCCGTTTCTTTGTCCGCTCCAGCCGCAGGAGAGTTCTCCCAAGGCGCAGGACGCCAACATTTTGTTCCTTTCAGAGCCGAGCTGGGTGTAGTTCGATGGTTGGGGGCACGCTTAGCGCTCAGGAGGCCCCGGGTTCGATACCCAGCAGCTCCCCAAAATCTTTTCAAGCCCTTTCTCACCTGGGTGGATTTAGCTTCCACAGTTCTTGGAACCGTGGCCAAGGCAGGTTGCCTGGGTGAACCAGTGGCTGTCACGTGTTGGGTTAAGTTGTGTTTGGAAGGACTTTGCAACATCAATCTTAACCCCGCCCCAGGACCCCCAGCCCCCCTAAAAAGTCCGAGTAGAGTTAGCCCTTGCTTGGTTGGTGTTGCTTGGTATTCATACATCACTCCTTCAGGGTCTGGATCTAGCTAGCATCAAGAGCGTCAATCCGCCTTTTCAAGTCAGCTGTTTGAATTGGGTTGGAGGTGAACTGCCGTTTACCTGGTTTTGGAAAACATTCTTCACCCTGGTTTTGAGTGGCTCTTTCCCCACGTTATCTGGAGCCTATAACCGTCTATGGAATTTCGTCCCCCCCCCCCCCCCCCCCGTTCTGTGCTTCTGCAAACTACTGGTAAACTGGGCTGGACCGACTTTGCCTACCTAAAGATTGGATTTTTGCCTCCTGAATGCTCTTTAAATGCTTTTTCTTTACAGGGCAGTTCTTAATCTGAAATCCATAAATTTTCAATGATGTATGTGAAGTTTCATGTGCCTTATGCCCTCTGAGAGGGGTCTCGGCCACCCAAGAAAGTTAGGAGCCACCTGTCAGCACTGTAACCCACTTCCCAAGATTCTTTGGGTTTGCTTGTAGAACCAAGTCACTGGGAAGAGCTCTGCCCTCCCTGTCCGTGGGAAAAGTGTGGGCCTTATGTAGCAAGAGCATTGGGCTGGGGACTTGGCTCTTCAAGAACTGGATAAGTCGTCAGGATCTCTTAGGGCTCTGGCTATAATCTTTTTTTTTTCTTTTTTTAATGAAAAATAGTTTTTCTGAGTACACTATAAGAGGGCACGGGCTTAGCAGTAACTAGATTGCTGAGTTTCTAAGCCACATTATGATTGTGCCTGAATAAATAATCTTCCTGACTCGGCATTAAGTTCTAACAGCCAAGAGTGGATTCAAGCCCGGAGGGTGCTCTTTCACATGCCTCAACCGAACTCTGCTCCTAAGCCAGGCCTCACTCATACTTTTATTCAAAGCCGTCTCTTCCCCCATCAATTGGAAAACTACAAGCTGAATATACCCTATTGGAGAATCTTGCCCTTTGATCCTTAGGCCTAAAATATCTCCTACACACAATTATTCTCACTGTTCTCAGTGAGGATCTGAATATGAAAGCACTGGAAGCTGCTAATGCTAATCAAGCATGTTATGTGAATGAGTGTATTGCCTGCGTGTGAGTGCACCCGTGTCATGCAATGCCGCGGAGGTCAGAAGAGGGCTTCGGATTCCCCTGGAACTGGAGTTAAGGACGGTTTGTAGCCGCCATGTGGGCGCTGGAAATCGAACCCAGGTTCTCTGGAAGAGCAGTCAGTGCTCTTAACCACTGAGCCATCTCTCTAGCCCCGACACACCCGCATTTATTCCCTGTCTTGGGTGGAGGGCAAAGTGGGGTCTGGAAGGATCACGGCTAGGTGCCTGGGTCACAAGAGCACATGGCTCAGTGAGCTTGTTTACATTATGAACACCTTTTTGGTGCAAGGTTGAGTAAAAGTCATTAGTCCAGAAGTCATTCCTACACTAGAGTACCACTGCAGCTTCAACTTTGAGGCTAGAGGTTAAATTGTAAGCTCAAATGTAGGTTGTAGGATTGATGGTGCGTCTCAGAGTTTAAAGCTCTTGCCTAGAATATGTGCGGCCCTGGGTTCAAACCTCAGCACCACAAACTAGTGTGTGTATATGCAAGTTAGTCATTTTGTATTGCTGCTCTAACAAATTAGCACAAATATAGTGTCTTAGCCCAAATTTATTCTTGGGCTGTTTGGAGGTCAAAGGTTCAAAATGAATTTTACAGGGTAACTGAAGGGCTGTTCCTTGGCTCTTTCACTCTTAACGATAGTGCCAATATTCCCTGGCGTGTTTCGCAGAGCTGGAGATTGAGCCTCACAAATTCTATGCACATAACTCTACTTAAATTGAGCTCCAGCTCCAGCTGTGACCTTATCGTTTTGGTCTTTTCAGGTCATGCCACCTCTTCTGTAGTCACATATCCTTCCACTTTACTCTTATAACGTCACTTGTAACACATTTAGGACTCACCACATACCCTAGGAAACTCCTGTTTCAAGATCCTTAATCGCACTTACAGATACAGATGGACAGAATAATAGACGTTCTTGATGCCCTTGAAAGCCGTTATTCTGCTTCCACACAAGGACCAGGTAACTCTAAAGGTCATCAAGACCACCAGCCTACTAGCCTTACGTTGGCCTGAAGAAAGGGAGCCTACTATTGCTGAATCTTTGGGGTTTGAGAGATCAAACCCAGGGCCTTGCTCACTGAGCTGTATCTGTAGCCCTGTTTTTCCTTTCATAATTTTTTTTTGAGAAAGGGTCTCACTAGGATTGGCCTCCATCTCAGTGATCTGCCTGCCTCTGTCTCCCAAGTGCTGGGTTTTTAAAAACACGGTCTCACTGTGTAGTATAGGCTAGTCTCAATATCCTGCAAGACCTTCAGACAAGCTGCCTGTTTACAGTCGGTGATGTCATGCGACCCTTTAATGCAGGGTAACTAGCATGTTAGCCCATTAGCCATTCTAGATTTAACAGTTACTGGGTTATCTCTTCAGACTACCTGTCCCCATCCTTGCTCACCACTCCCCCAGCATCATAAAGACCACCGCTTAAACATGGATTTTTTTTTTTTTGTGACAGGGTCTTACTGTGTGACCCTAGCTGGCCTATAATTCAGTATCTAAACCAGGCTGGTCTTGAATTTGAAGAGTCTGCCTGCCTCTGCCTCCCATATGGTGGATTCTAAGCATGTACCAGCTTTGTTTATTCAATAAAGTTTTCTCAGCTTTCAGGCCAGGGGTGTGGTTCATGAGTGTTTGTGTGGCATGCTTCATTTCTTTCTCCCTGTAGCCCCAGCTGATCTGGAACTCATTTATGTAGACAAGGCTGGCCTTGAATTCACAGAGATCCGCCTGCCTCTGCCTCCCAAATGCTGGGACTAAAGGCCTATGCCAACACACCCAGCATATGGCATGCGTCCTTTCCTTTTTTTTTTCTTATGTATGAGTGTATTGCCTGCATGTATGTGAGTGCAGTGCCTCGGAGGTCAGAAGAGGGCTTCGGATTCCCCTGGAACTAGAGTTAAGGACGGTTTGTAGCCTCCATGTGCATGCTGGGAATTGAACCTGGGTCCTCTGCAAGAGCAGTCAGTGCTCTTAACCCCTGAGCCATCTCTCTAGCCCCCTGCATGCTTTATTTCTAACCCCTCCTCCATCTCTGCCCCCTCCCCCCTTTCAAAAAAGTTTTATTTATTATTATTGGAATGGGGATGAGCACATGCCACTATGTGTGTTTGGAAATACGGACCACTTTTTGGAGTCATGTCTTTCATTCTACCTTTACATGAGTTTCAGGGATTGAACAAAGGTCACCAGGCTTGTGTGGCAGGTACTTTAGCCATTGAGCCATTTTGTTGTCTCTACATGTTCTGACCAAAAACTGTGTGTGTTGTTTGTTGTGTGCTTGTCTACTGAAGGCATAAACATGGGATACTCTGCCTTGGAGGGCCCATGCCTTTGTTAACTCATTCATAGTGCTTTTGGGTAGAGAGAGGTGATTTTGTTGCTTCTCTGAGAAAATAGTTAAAACAAGTTAGACCAGGGTGGCTTCAGATTCACAGAGGTCTGCCTGTGTGTGCTGGGATTAAAGGCATGTGCCACTATGCCTAACAGCCCTTATCCTTTGATTAAAAATTAACACAGAAATGTCCCTGGATTTTCCATGGTAAGATAAGCACCTTGGAGTTGCCTTTATCATATCATGACATTTACTTGGCTTTGAAGATGTGCTTATTAATAAGTGCCACCTCTGGGCTAATTTAAAATTTTAATTTTAAAAATTTTCTTATTTAATGTGTATGAATGCATTGCCTGATATGTGTAAGTTCACCCATCCTGTGCAATGCCTGTGGAGGTCAAAAGAGGGTGTCAGATTCCCCTGGAACTGGAGTTACAGGCTGTTGTTAGCTGCCATGTGGGTGTTGGGAATTGAATCTGGGTCCTCTGCAAGAGCAGCCAGTGCTCTTAACAGCCGAGCCATCTGGCCAGCTCCAAATTTTAAAAATTTATTATTAAATTTTACTTTTATGAGGTTTTGCCTGCACGTATATAAGTGCACCCATGTTTGCAGTGCCCACAGAGGTCACAAGGGGATGTTGCACGTCCCCTAGAACTGGAGTTACAGCCACTATGTAGATGATGGGGACCAGACCTGAGTCCCCTACAAGAACAGCCAGTACTCTCAGCAGCTGAGCCATCTCTCCAGCCCCTATTTATATTTTTCGAAACAGGGTCTCACTACGTAGCACTGGCTAGCATCAAACTCAGAGATCCTCCTACCCTTGCCTCTTGAGTGCAGGGGATTAAAACCGTGGACTGACATTACCCGGTCATTTTAGTTTGTTTTGTTTTTGAGACAGGAGAGCATGAAGCTTAGATTAGTTTCAAATTGTTATGTAGACCAAGATGACCTTGAACTCCTGCTCTTCCTGCCTCCATCTCCCAGGTGCTAGGATTACACGTCTGTGCCACCACACCTGGCTCTAAGATGCCAAATTTGGCAGGCCTTTGGTGGTAGAGTTCAGCCCCTATAAAGCCTAAAATGGGCAGCTGTAGAATTCTGTGGCCATTGAGCAGGGATCTGCAACCTTTGATTTGACAGAGAGAGAACCAGACCTTGCCAGGGCCTAGAAGCTGTGTCATTCGGGGTAATTTGTTCTTCCACAAATACCCAACTGGTCTTCTAAAAGAAAAAAGAAAAGAAATGGAGGTAGGGAGTGAAAAATAAACTTATTTGCAATATTAGAGTTCAAATGTCCACAACCGAAGCCAGACATGGTAGCCTATGCCTTTAATCCCAGCACCTGGGAAGCAGAGGCAGGTAGATCTCTGAGTTCAAGGCTACCCTGGTCTACATAGTGAGTTCCAAGTCAGCAGGGGCTATAGGGAGACCCTGTCTCAAAAAAAGAGCCCCTCCCCCATAAAAGGTGCACAACCACTCTCCACAGAGCTTTATTTCCTGTCTCGACCACCTCCCCTAAGAAGAAAATATTTTAAATATTTTATCATTTTTATGTGTATGACTTGCCTGAATGTAGGTAGGTACACCTATGTCATGCAAAGCCCTCAGAGGCCAGAAGAGGGTGTCAGATCCCCTGGAAGTGGAGTTGTGGACATTGTTAGCTGCCATGTGGGTGCTGGGAATGGAACCTGGGTTCTCTGCAAGAGCAACCAGAGCTTTTAACCACTGAGCCATCTCTTCAGCCCCCCAACTTATTTCTGTATTTAAGGAATCTGTTCAGTGCACAGTTGTCAAAAACTGTCAACAGTGTTTTCTGCATTCAACACTTCAGAGAGCCTCCGACAGTGAGCAGCATATCTAGGTTTGTGCTACTGTGGCAATAACGAACAGATGCTTGTGAGCACCAAGACAGGCCTGGAAAAGCTGAGAGCTTCACAGAGAAGGTAATGTTTATATATAGACAGAAAGTTTTTACTAAATGACCATCTAGGCTATATCCTAAGAGCCTCTGGGTATGTCACCTGCTGCCACCAGGGATGCACAATGAGGGGTTCTTTGCAGATCTTGAGGTGTGTTGGAGCTGCTGAGCCCATGTGGGCTCTGTGGCTACAGTCCATCGTGATCCTGTCTTTTTCAGTTCAGTAACTTACTGAAGTGGTACTCTAAGGAATTCAAAGACCCTCTGATGCAGGATCCCCCAGTGTGGTTCAAGTCCTTCCTGTTCTGCGAGCTTGTGTTCCAGCTGCCTTTCTTTCCCATTGCGGCATATGCCTTCTTCAAAGGTTGGTAAATGGTGGGGAAATCCCAGCTTTGCTGGGCAATCTCTTGGTTCCTGTGTAGTTAGAAGGGTCTGGTGGAAGAAACCAGAATAGATGTGACAGGGGAATCTTAACATGGTTATGTGGAAGTTTCCTACATGTAAGACCCGAGGCCAAAGGATGAGCTTGTTCTCCCCCAACACACAGATATTCATTGACATTCTTTTCCTGCTTTGGGTAGTAGTATCTTATCTTGTAAGCAAAAAAACATCAAGCCAATCCCTGAAGAGCTTAACTTCAGGGATGATGCAATGGCTCAGAGTGGGTAAAAGCACTTGCCACCCCAGGACCCACATGGTGGAAGGATATGTGCCCCCCCCAACACAACATGTACATAAATATAAAAAAATTATTCCTAAATGTTGTAGGATTAGTGATTTTATGAAAGTAGTATTGCCTCTGTCTTTGGAAACTAGGTTCAGAGCAGAAAGGCTTATTCCTCACGAGTTACCAACTACCAGATCCAGCTGCTGCCTCTTGCCTTATTTATGTGGTTCACTTTACAGATGCCAGAGCGGGGCTTCCCCTCCCACTGCATTGTAGATCACACTGGCAGTACTGTTTTGCTGTTCTAGTTTTTCTAAGCTGTATGCCAGCCCTCACCATTGGTTCTCTGGCAGTGAGCTGGGGTCCTGCCACATAAGCTTGTGTGTTGAGCAATATAACACCTCCACTTTTCCGTGTTTTCTGAGTTTCCTCCAGGAGGCAGAATAATTGAGCTGAAGGGCACAGACAAGCAGAGACAGGGTAGACAGAGCAGGTCCCAGACACCCTTACAGTCACCAGCAGACCTAACATACCATTGCCTTTCCTCTTCCTCTCCTTTAGGAAGCTGCCGATGGATCCGCATCCCTGCAATCATCTACTCAGTTCACACCATAACAACTTTAATTCCAATTCTCTACACATTTCTACTTGAGGATTTCTCCAAAGCTGTTGCTTTCAAAGGACTAAGACCTGAGACGGCCCGTGAACGGCTGACCCTCATTGGTGTCTATGTCCCTTATCTAATCATCCCCATCATACTTCTACTTTTCATGTTGCGGAACCCCTACTACAAGTATGAAGAGAAAAGAAAGAAAAAATAAGGGACTGGCCGGGTGCAGGGAGATGCCCACAGCACAGGCTGCCTTTTGGACAATACAAGAAAAATTGCTCTGAACCCATGTTTTCAGTAGCACTTGAAACACACCAACACTGCACAAGAACAAGATAGTCCAAGAGACAGGCCAAACCCTCATCTTCCAAGGGATGAATGTGTTGTCCATCAGCAGGGGTGGGGGCTGGGTTATACTATACCAGTGGTATGAAATACCACGTACCCAGGTTCCATCACAGGATTACTAAGAAAAGGAGCAGACCAGAAGCTGGGTGGGTGTCCACACAACAAGGCCTGCTTGACATCTTCCTAAGTCATGTGACCTAGAATGCTCACACCCCACTAAACCCTTGATTTGGGATTTCTGTAGTTGACCACCAGTCAACAAATGAGCAGTGGGATGTTTTAGGCCACAAATGATTCCTCTTTAACATGAAAAACTGTATTCCATTTCCTTGTTTGCACCTCTACTCCTGGGAGGAAAAAAAAATACTGTGCAAGAAGGATTCAAACTTCATTTTTCTTCATAAGGCTTAGTGTTCACACGACTCTGATCCAGAAGTAGGTTACAGTGGAAGGTGTTTTCTATCTTGAACAGATCATCCCAAGAAATCTCTACTGTTATTCCGGAGTACTGTCTTCCATATTTTTAGAGACCATCTGAGATACTTCCCTTCACTCCCAAGTCTGGCATCAGAAGCCACTTGGCTCTGTAGTAGATAGCTTGGTGCTTTCTCTCAGCCTAATCGTTCCCATCTTGTCAGGTGGGGGAAGTAGTATGACTGCCTAGTATGCACCTAGGGTCTCTTTCGTTAGTGCTTGCTGTTCTTCTAGCTCTAGAAGTGCACTTGAGGCCAGCCCTTAAAAAAAAAGATAGCAGGTGCTAAGAATTCCAGTTTTGCTCACAAGCCATATCGGTCTGGTTGTTGGTATTACTGTCTCACTTGTGTGTGCTTATAAATAAAGGTAGCTGCTAATCACTGCCTGGTTTGTTATATGGGCTGGGGACTAGAACACTTCGGGTTAATGATGCAAGGCGCCAGAGAAAAAAAGACCAAGCCATTTGAAAATGATAATTTATTGCTTTTCTTTCCAGAGCTTTGTGAATTTACAAAAAAGATAAGGTTTACAGACTGTTTAACTTCACTAAGAATGCAAGAGGTGAGTCCCTGTGCTGCCTCGTCCCTGGTGGTAGCTGTGCCATCTTTAGCAGCCACCCCACACTCGAGGGCTGGGCTCCTTACTGCCATGGTATTCTTGGTCCTTTTTCAAATCACTGGAATGGTACAGAGGTGTTGTTTTTTTTTTTTTTTTTTTTTTTTTGGTTTTTTTTTTTGGTTGAGAAGCTTTTTTTTTTTTTTTGCCTTCTGCTATAAAAATGAAATTTTCAGTTCATTTCTGAAAAATAAATTGGTCAATAAATTCATTTTGTTCTGCTTCTACTTTACACAAAGCTTCATATTCAACCCGATACCTGAAAAACAAAATTGTTAGAAGCCCTGAAAAGAATGAAATAAAACACTTAATTCTTCAGAGTATACAGAGGTCTAAAGCACTGTAAGAAACAGTGTGAATTCAAAATGAAGTTATGAGAGGTGAAGAAGCAAAGCCTTACTCCAGACCACTCACAAGAAACCTCCAGCACTGTAGGCAGCCAACTGACCACAGCCAGCTACATCCACTTTAATGTGCAAACTACTAGAGGTCATCTGATATTAGCCAATTTCCCAATAAATGCAACTTTATTATTTTTTAAATCTTCAAATGAGTATGCCCAATGAAATGCTACACCTGGGGAAATCTTGAGAAAAAGGGTGATCAAGGAAGCGTGAGATGGAGATGCTCAGGAGCCTGCTTAGCTCGGGCTGCTTACCTCTCCAGCTGCATTTTCTTTTCTGCTATCAGTGCTTGCAGTTGCTGCTGTTGGGCTTCTCTCTGCTTCGCTATGGATTTGAGCAGGTTCCGAGCACCAATGGCCTGAAAAACAGCATCACCAAAGTGTGGTTTCCTTACCACCTTTAGCACTGAGCCTTCCTTCCTTAGTGCTCCTTAGAAAAGGCCACTTGGGACGGGGAAAGAGAGGAGCCCTATGGTTTCCAGGCTAAGTCAGAAGGATGATTAATTAACCTACTGATTCCAAAGTGCCTGGGGAGACATGGCACAAAGAAATGGAGCCCAATCTGCAGTGCTTAAACCCAATCATCTACTGTGCAAGCCTTCATTTATAACAGGGTAAAACCACCTGTCAGTGCCTCCATGAAGATCAGGGGAGCAGAGACTAGAGTGTACTGGCATATAAACTCAGCATATTAACTGGAGCAGCAGTTATTACTAAATAAATACAAGAGCCTTCCATCCCCCCAAAGAGAAGAGCCTGGAGAACCAGATGGACAAGCTGTGCAGATCTTACCTTCATCTTCTCATTTTCTGCTTCTTTTGCAAGTTGGTCAACAAGCTCAATTAGACCACCAACTATTTTCTGAAATTGGCCAATTTCTTTTTGGGAAAGAACAAAACATTTTCATTAGTATTCTTTTGGAGCTGTGAAGACAGAGCTAACTACCTCTTCTAATTTTTGTCAGAGTAGTCTGGTACCTGCTAACCTGAGCTTTCCCACTTCGGTCTACCCTAGAAAAGGGTCAGCCAAGTGCCAAGAGCTGGACCTTGAATCAAACTAGGCTACTAGTGGACCCATCTCCAGATGGATCCCAATCCTGCCTCCCAGGAGTGACAGGACGCACAGAGTAGAGTTCATAGAAAGGACTGTCAGAACACAAGTGCAGCCTCTGGACTGGCCACAGAGCCAACAGTTTCAGTCAATGGTGGGGTGGGAACTCCTTTAGCCACAGAGGGTAGAGAGCTCACAATATTTAAGTGCTCATTCCCCATTCATTTTTTCCTATGTTCTTGGTAAGCTAGAATCCCATAATTTTGAGGAAAATAAGGCCAGAGAGGTAGGCAGCATGCAGAGTAATCACAGAAGACTGGGAATGGAACCCAGGCAAACCTGTTACCAAACCATAGTCCAGAAAACAAATCCCTTGCTTCGGGTGAGTTACAAGGATCACAAGTTTGAGGCCAACCTAGGATACACAGTGAGACCCCGTCTCTAGAAAAGAAAAGAAAAATCTCTTGCACCAGCTAAATCTGGCTTTGTCTACTGGCATGGGGCTGGCTTGGCTGCTGGGAGATTTCCTGCAGAGCTGTGGTCTGAACTTCATTCGTGTTTTGCTTCTAGAAGCCTCAGTTAACACCTCTAACCAAATAATGGAAAGCCTGCCACCAAGAAGACTACTCCACCAAGGTATCAGAACACATATTTCCATTGCCCACACCCAAACATTCTCCCATGAATTTCAAGGTTTTCAAAAGATTTTTTATAAAAAACCAACGAAACAAACACAGATGGCCTATCTAAAAACACTCATCCTTCCCTAGTCCCTATGTGGCCTGGCCTCAGTGTGGGACCACATGACAGCAGAAGCAGCTAAGGAAAGAAGGCTGGGGAACATGGAAATTCAGAAACCATGCTCAACCAACAAGCAACTTCATTCTGGAAGGGCCAAAGCTACAGCTGGGGTGAGGTAGAGGGACTGCTCAAAGCCAAATGGCACTGTGTCCACACATGGTACTCACTGTCCACGAAGTCCTTGCACTCTTCCTTGAGCTCTGTGGTCTGCTGGGTAACCTCTGGGTCCAACACCCGCAGCTTGTTCAGCTCATCAAAGTGCAGTCCTGCTTCCCCCAAGATGTCCTTGGCCATAGCTACAAAGACCAGCCCCAACCTGAAACTCATCCCAGCTACCCAAGGTAATGTGGGCTACTTGCCTAATCCACCCCTGTCCCCAACACTAATGTCAAAACTCCCGGATGTTCCAAAGGCTTTCCATTCTCTCTGCCTCCACCTCTCACCTGTTTCCCTTCCAGGTTCCCTAGAGAAGTTCTGCTCTGAAGGAGTGACAGTGGCAGGCAGGAGGTATGTCAGAGGAGTGAGAGTCAGGAAAGAATAAAGTCCAGTTGCTTGTCACAGGCATCGTTCACGCAACATAACATTTCTTGAGTGCCAACTACATGCCAACACTGCTAGATGCTGGGGTATAAAGATGAATGCAACATGGTGCCTGCCCTGGAGCAGCACACAGTTTAGCTGGAGGAAGACAGACATGTAAACTAAAAAGTTATATTGCATTAAGTGGTTTCGCAGAAATAACAGTAAAGAACAGGAAGAACAGAACAATTAACAGGTGCATCTGGCCTAAGCTGTGAGCCATAAGCATATTTATAAATCCTCATTTATGAACAGAAAATGGCTTTCCAAATTCAGGTACTGGGAATGACACAAAAAGAAAAGAAATGTGGGTGAATTAAAAATTAGGGTTAATTGTCTGGGCATGGTGGTGCACGCCTTTAATTCCAGCACTCAGGAGGCAGAGGCAGGCGGATCTCTTGTGAGTTCAAGGCCAGCCTGGTCTACATAGAGAGTTCCAGGCCAGTCAGGGCTGCATAATGAGACCCTATATTTAAAAACTAAAAAATTAAAACAAGTTAAAAGTTAGGCATGGTACTACATACCTCTAATCCTGCACTCATCAAGGCTAAAGGAGGAGGAAAGAGACAAGTTTAGGACCAAACTAGGCTATATAGTCCCAGGCCAGCCTGAGCTACATTGTAGTAATAATAGGGAGCTGGAGAGAAGACTCAGCAAAGAGCATTTGCTGCTCTTGCAGAGGACACAAGTTCCATTCCTCGCATCCACATGGCAGCTCACAACCAACTGTACTTTCAGTTCCAAGGGATGCCTTCTCCTGGCCTCCACAGGCACCGCATACACCTGCAGTCAAAACACTCATACACATAGTTATGGTAAGTCGGGCGTGGTAGTGCACGCCTTTAATCCCAGCACTCCAGAGACAGAGGGAGGATGGTCACAAATTCAAAACCAGCTTGGTCTGGTCTACCAGTTCCAGGTCACCCAGGGCTAAAAAACAAAACAAGCCAGCATAGTGGCACATGACTTTAATCCCAGCACTCAGGAGGTAGAGGCAGGCGTATCTCTGTGACTTCAAGGCCAGCCTGGTCTACATGGAGAGTTCCAGGCCAGCTGGTGCTACAGGGAGACCCTGTCTCAAAAAGCCACAAAACAAAACAAAATACTACTACTAAATGTCTTCCTATTTACAGAAACAGCCTGAGTATTTAACAGCTTACCAGATACTCCAATAAAGTTGGAGTAATAGGATGGTGCAAATACCTACATCAACTTCTACCACTTTCCCTAAGGGCTAGCATTTATTCAGAAACTGTATAATCCCTACTTCAAGGATAGGGTGGTGATGAAAACTGTCTACACAGACAGTAAGCAAACTAATCTAATCGTTCTAAGAGTATGAAGAAAAGTAATAGTGCTATATGAAGATGCTGCAAGAGGACAGTACCAAGGGGCAGAGGGGCATCAACAAATGCCTTCAGAAAAAGTGATGCTATAACCTATAAGATGTCCAAAACTCTGCTAAGAGAAGGTGGAGGGGCAGCATTAAGGACAGAGGGAAAAGCATTATGGGAAGACCCTGAGTCTAAAAGAACTTTGACACAAAGGCTGATCAAAAGAGTGAGCAAGAGGAAGATAAAGGTGAGGCCAGATTGGCTAACGACAGATGGTGGAGGGCTAAGAAAGTATAGGCTGTTAAAAGAGACAGCCTAATAAACTTGATTTTATAAGGGTAACAGCTAGCCAGGGATTCCCAGTAGTGAGATCACTGGCTTAGCCTGAAGACTGGACTGAGGGGAACAACACAGAACCCAACTTTCCAGGCTCCTCACTGTGACCCTAGCATCTAAGCAGTTGCTTGCACATACGTGGCACTCAGTTAATGTTTGTGGAATGGATGAATGACTGTGGAAACTGCAGGCTGTAGAAGTCAACGCTTGAAACTAAAGACAAGTGTTCTGAGCAGAGTCATAGGATTTAGTAATGGACTGCTTAATGTAGAGGTTTGGAGATGAATGAAGGAAAGAGACAGATATGATTCTCATGAATCTGGATTGGACCGAATGTATGATTGGAAAGGACAGTATAGAGATGGGTAAGGAGGACGGTGGCAGGCAGATGGCTCACAGCGGACTATCAAATTCTTCCCCAACTTCCACCAGTATCCCAGGGACCTGAGACAGTTTCCTAAGGATGAGGGCGGTGACCACCGGCTCTACGCGCCCAGGCTATCCCAGATCCGCAGGCACTCCACCCATGCGGTGCGGAGAAGGCACTGGGCAGAAGTTAGAAAGGGCTGGGCAAAGAAGTGGTTGCCTTTCCTAACCTCTTACTATCCCTGGAGATCGTAGCGGGCGAGCATCAACGTGCGCCGCTCGGGGCCTGAGCTGGGTGGGAAGCTGCGCCCTAGGAATTCCGAGAGGCAAACTCCCGCTTTTCTCTTGGACTGCGCCGTCCTCAGCTTGAGGTTCTCGCCTCGGGTCTGCCACGTCCTCGACCCGAAATCACAGCCTACCTGCCGCCAGGTCGGGGCGCGGTGCGGCGCAGACGGCTGCCAGGGGTACCTTCTCCCCGGTACCCGCAACCAGCCGCTGCCACGACTACAGGACCTATGTACCCATACGTCCCCCCCTGACACCGGAAGCACTAGCACACGTCCACCCCGTGGTGCCAGCTGGGAAACCGAGGAGGACGGGAGGAGCGGTGACTGCCGGCAAGAGCCAGACGCCTTTGCGCCGGAAGTAGCTTTGCTCTCGCACCAGGAAGCGGGAGGGGGCGCGGCCTCTGAGGAATCCCGCTTCTACAACTACTCGCGGGCTGTGCATGCTGGCTCTTGTAGTCTGTCTCCCCCGCTGGCTCCGGGAGGAGTCGTCCAGCGCAGGATGTGAGCTCACAGCCGAGATTGCAGATGGGCAGGCGGCCACAGGCCAGGGGCGGCACAGGAGTCCTCCCGCCACTCGGCTGAGAGGAGAGACGCCCCCGCGGACGGTGAGAGCTAGGCCTGAGGGGGCCGGAGGAGGGGGCTCCTCCGGGTCCTGGGCAGAGGGCGTAGGGTAGCACGGGGATACAGCGTTCCGTTCCTCCCCTTGGGTGGGTGGCACCGCGGTTCTCGGTGTCTCAGCTGAGGACCGGGTCTTGTTACAGAGCAGCCTACACTGCCGTAGCAGAGGATGTCGCTTAATCTCCCCAGGGACCCTTTGGGTGTCCTAAGCGTCACTCCCGGGATCGCTGACCTTTCTAGCCAAGATCAGCCTTCCCAGCCCCGTTCTTTTAGGACTCCTCTTCTTTCCACTACGGCGGCTGTTTGTCCTTTGTTCAACTTGGTACCCAGTAGCTTCCCCGAGAGACACGGGTCTGCCCCCAACCCCAGCAATCCCCAAATAGCCACACGCTTAGTCCTGGAGGAAGAGCACTGAGGCTATCTGTGTTAACTTCATCCTCTCAGGAATTTCTTTCTAGGGCGTCACCTGCCACAGAATTCTTAGGAACTCATTGGTCCGGGCGGAATCTGATCTGACGTCATCCAGGACTCAAAGTGATTGCTTTGTAGGCAAAGAATAGATAAGTTCTGGGTTTTCCTTCCTCAATTAGCAAGCCTAGCCATTGAAGTTCTTTGATTTGGCAGAACGTGAATATGTGCTTTCTTTGATTTTAAGAAAATGGGGGCTGGGCACAAAGTATGTGAGGAACTTGCTGAAACTTGTTAAGTGGTTGAGTTTCTTCCTGTGAGGTGGGCGGAGGAAGGTAGGTGATTGCATACCATTCTAGTGTTACTTACAAGCCAGACTTCTTGGGTCTCATTTCATCCATACTCCATCCCAGAAGAAGCAGTAATTTGCATAGCACCACTCTGGCCTTTGCCTGACCGGTGTTCTTAACAGCAACCCCCACCCCCTTCCCACCGACGTACCAAAATCTTTTCAGGGACCATTTTAGTCCAACCGACTGATATATGTGGAATACTTGGGAAACCAGTGCCATGCTTCTGGGTTTCACCCATAAAGCATAAAGAATAATTGGAAACCCCTGGTGTTCTGAGGATTAAAAGAGTTTAATTCCACCTGGTGCTGCACTGCCTCTGTGGTCCAAGTCTTCATCTCTTGCCTGGACCAGCACTCACTCTGCCTTTTCCCACTTTCTCTTATGTGCGTTTGCAGTGTATATAGCAGCCAGAGTTGTCCTTGAAAAATATAAATAAGTTGCCAGGCATGGTGGCACATGCCTTTAATCTCAGCACTTGGGAGGTAGAGGCAGGTGGATCTCTGTGAGTTCAAAGACCAGACTGGGGCTACAATAAGATCCTGTTTAAAAACAGCGATGATAACAATAATATATAGTAATAATAATGATGAAATAAAAAGGAAAGTAAAATGGAAAAAGCAAGCCGAGAACCACCATTCATTTCTCTTTTCTTCCACACTGCAGACAAAAATGCAACAAGTTGCTTTCAAACCAGCCACCATGATGGAGTATGCGCTCTCAAATCATGAATCAAAATGTAAATAAGTCAGATCATATCACTCCCCTTCTTAAATCCTTCCAATCATTTCCCATACTGTATTGCAATTAATATAAACCCAAACTCCTTACTGTTATGTAGTATCTGCCTTCCCAGGCTTTGCACAGACCACCTCCCTGCTTTCTACGCACTAGCCATTACTATTATCATTACTACTCCTAAAACTTCTTTCTTCTAAAGAAATTACTTTATGTATATGTGTATGTGCCTAAGTATATATGTGGACTACATCTGTGCAGGTGCTGCAAAGGCCAGAAGAGGGCGTTGGATTCCCCTGGAACCGGAGTTACAGGCAGTTGCAAGCTATCTGATGTGGGTGCTGGGAACTGAACTGGGGTCCTCTACAAGAGCTCTTAACCACTGAGCCATCTCTCCAGCTCCTAAAACTTGTTTCAAACAGGAGCTTTGCACTTGTTGCCTGGAATGTACTTTTCAGACTTTAGCTAAAATGTTACCTTTCCTCAATCACAAGCTTCTGCCTGATAGCTCTCATGTCACTGTTTTATTCTTTGCTGCCTTTGTCACTGGTGAAACTGCTTGTTTCCTTGTTATGGTTTGTCTTCCCCTACAATATGAGTTCCCTAAGGACGGGACTCATGTGTAGTCTTGTTCTTTTCTGTTCCTAGTGCCTGACACACAGAGCTCAGTAAGTGCTAACTTAAAAAAAGATTCCTGTTAAATTATGTAGCTCAGTGGTAGAGTGCTTACCTAGCATTCATGAAGCCTGGGTTTGAGCCCCAGCACCACATAAATGAGCATGGTGGCACGCACCTGAAATCTCAACACTTACAAGGTGGAAGCAGGAGGATCAGAAATTCAGTGTCATCATCTACTCACAGTACATTCAAGGACAGCCTAGGCTACATGAGACCCTGTCGTAAACAAAGAATTCTTATTAACATGATGTTCATTGAACTCCTTGAAGCAATAATAATGCCTTTATATGGTTACCTTACTGCTTAATATAGCAGGTACTGGTTTTATCGCTAAATGAATTAAATGATATAAAATATCTACTAAATACTTAAAATAGTCCCTGCTGTAAACTAAACTTGCAGTGAATGTTAGCTATGGTAACTTTCCTTCAGTGAATGAATTTTAGTGAGTTTTTAATTGTAAGGTGCTTTTTTTTGTTGTTTTTTGAGACAGAATCTCTATGTAACACTGGCTGGTCTGCAACTCATTATGTAGAACAGGCTGGTCTCGAGCTCACTGAGTATCTATCTGCCTCTGCCTACTGAGTGCTGGGATTAAAAATGCATGCCACCATGCCTAGCCAGGTTTTGTTTTAAAGTTACGACCTTGCTGTATAACCTAGGCTGCCTTGAACTCCAGAGCCTCCTGTTTCATCCTAAATGTGGAGATTACAGGCATATGCCACCCTGCCTTGCTCCGTGATTTTTTTTTTCTTTTTAATATTTATTTATTGAGATAGGGTCCTTTAGCTCCAGCTGGCCTGAAACTCGCTATATAGACTAGGCTGGCCCTGATCTCACAGAGATCTTCCTGCCTCTGCCGCCTGAGTGCTGGGATTAAAGGCCTGTGCTACCCTGCTCGAATCTTGTTTCTTTTATTTATTTTTCTTTTCTTCTTTTTTTGGTTTTTAAAAACAGACTCTTGCTGTGTGGCCCAGGTTGGCTCCTAACTCATTCTGTACCCCAGGTAGGGCTTGAACTTGAAATCCTGAGTACTTGCTGGTATTACATGTGTGCACTGCCATATCTAATGAGGTTTTTGTTTTGTTTTTAATTTTGAGACAGGGTTTCATGTAGCTCCATAGCCCTGGCTGGTCTAAGCTTTCTGTATAGCTGAGGAACTCCTGATCCTCTGCCTCTACCTGTTACATGCTCAGATTACAGGCATGAACCATTACAGTTTATGTGGTGCTGTGGATAACCCAGAACCTCATAGATGTTAGGGAAGCATTCCACCAATTGAGCTATATCCCCAGACTTTTTTTTTTTTTAAACTTGAGATGGGGTCTCATTCTGTAGCCCAAACTGCCCCTGCCGTCCAAATGCCAGACTATAGGCATGGGCCACCATACCTGGTCTGGCTAGTAATACTTTAGCTAGCCAAAACAGCACAGTTATCTCTCTGCCTATGAGGCATTGGCTCTGTGTTCTCTGCAGATACCAAAATCTGAGGATGCTCAAGTCCCTTACATTAAATGTAGGATTTACATATAGTCTCTATCCTCCTATCTACTGTCTATTATCTCTGGATTACTTAGAATACCTAATGCAATGTAAATGTATGAAGTATCATGCTTAATACTATACAAATAATTATGTGGTATTGTTTAGGGAATAATGACAAAAGAAAGTTTGTACATGTTCAGTAAAGCTGTAATTTTTGTTTGTTTCGGTGGTTTGTTTGTTTTTTTGTGTACATTTTTACTGAATTTTCTGCATTTCATACATCTTGACCATATTTAGACCTCCTCTCCATCTGTAACACCCATAACCCTCCCACCAGATTTCATGAATTCTCTCATATATGTTAATATTTTTTTGGTTTTCTCCTGTATAGCCCTGACTGGCCTGGAACCCGCTATGTAGACCAAGCTGGCCTTGAACTCATAGAGGGCTGCCTGCCTCTGCCTCCTGAGTACTGAGGTTAAAGGCATGTGCCATCATGCCTGGCATAGCCCCAGCTGGCCTGAAACTTGCTATGTAGACCAGGCTGGCCTCAATCTCACAAAGATCCTCCTGCCTCTGCCTGTTGGATGCTGGAATTAAAGGTGTGAGCCACCAAACCCAGTGTAATTTTTTTTTTTTTAATTCAGTCCCCTTTTTTGTTAAATCCACAGGTTTGGAACCTAGAATATAAATAACAATATAAAAATAGAATGCAAACCATGAGGATGAACCAACTTTTCCCCTAATAATTCCTCAGTTCTGTGAACAGTTAATGTTTTAATTTCCATATTCCTTAGTCATTTTTAGGGTTAGCATCATGTCTGTTCTCCCCATGCTTGGGGAGGGAAGAGAGGAGAGATAGGACTCTCAGGAAAAAGAAGCAAAATAGCCATCCTGTGTTGTTCTGCCTTGGAAAACGGTGACAATTACAGGAACTGGGGCAAGGCCAGGAAACCCCACGGGAGCCCAGGTATCTCCTGCCAAGCACACTGGCCAGCTGCCTCCAAAGCTGGCTGGCTCCAGCCTCTCTAAACCATACTCATTTTCCTTCTTGGACCCAGGCTCCCTTTGGCTGGTGCTAACATGAGCCCTAAAGTAGCTGTTCCTGAGAAAGGAAATACATCCTGTCCTTCTGGCTCCTGGGAAATGCCTAGGTTGGCTGGATTCCCAGTGGGTTAGACTTCCAGAAATCTGGGATCATGGGAACTTGAAGAAGATATTTTCTAGAGTCAGGCTGGTAGATCCAGGGTAATCCATTGGTCCGGCCCTCTTCAGCTAGTTCCAAGGGTTTGCTTGTCTTCCTTGCCACCCAGAGCAGAAGCTAGGTGAAGTGACTGTTCCCAGACCTGGCTTCTATTATCATGAAAGCAGCAGGAGGCTCATTCTTGCTGTTACCCAGGAACTTAGCCTCTGCCTGGGAGTGCATGGGCTTATCTTGGAGGTAAACCGCCAGAGTTCCTACTGCTGTGCCCTCTGTTTGAGGCCTTGACTCTGCTGACTTCTGTGTTCTCTCCATCTCCACCCACAGCACTGAGAGTATGAGGCCCTGGCCTCTGCAGGCCACTCATTTGTGACCACTTCCACCACGGCAGAGCCTTCCAAGCCTACCTCCTGCCGTGTGGTGATCTACCTGCAGCGGAAGATGTCAGGGGACACCTGTCTGTGCCCGGCTTCAGGGGCCAAGCCCAAGCTAAGCAGCTTCAAGGGAGGTGGGCTGGGCAACAAATACGTGCAGCTCAATGTAGGTGGCTCCCTGTACTACACCACCGTTCGGGCCCTCACCCGGCATGACACCATGCTCAAGGCTATGTTCAGTGGGCGCATGGAGGTGCTGACCGACAAAGAAGGTGAGGCATAGCATCTGGGCTTGATGTACAGGGGAGAAGAGGAAGGGGAATCCTCAGGAGATGACTTCAGGGCAGGGCTTAAGCCCAATAGATCTATCTAGAATCTATCCTTTCCTTTTTACCTAGTACAGGACATCTCATCTGGAGTTCTTAGTAGAGCTTATGAATTCTTTGAAATTGTACATAGACTGTTGTGTGATGTATTTTCCGGGGGGGATATTCATGTCTTAAAATAGTTTCTTTTTAGTTTTAGTTTTTTGTGTATAATTGTTTGGCTGCATGTATGTAAGTGCAATTGTGTCATGCAGTACCCGAAGTGGTCACAAGAGGGTATTGGATCCACTGGAACTGGAGTTAAGGATGGTTGTCAGCCACCATGTGGGTGCTGGAAATTGAACCCAGGTCTTCTGCAAGAGCAGCCAGCGCTCTTAACTGTTGGCCATCTCTCCAACCTCATATATATCCATGTTTTAAAAATAGTCTGGCTGAGTATGGTGGCACGTACTTGTAATCCCAGCACTTGGGAGATAGGGACAAGAGGATCAGGAGTTGGAGGCCAGCCTTAGCTACATAGGGAGTTGGAGGCCAGCCTGACCTATGTGAGATGCTGTCTCAAAACAAACAAGGACAGGAATGATAGTTCAGAGATTAAGAGCACATACTGCTCTTGGAGAGGACCTGAGTTCCAGTCCCAGAACCCACATCAGGCAGCTCACTGCCTGAAACTCTAGCTCCAGGTGCCTCTGACTCCCTCTTCTGGCTTCAACAGGCAACTACACTCATGTGCACGTACATAATTTTAAAAATAAAAATAAATCTTTAACAAGCATTTTCAAATAAAATACAGGTGTGGTGACACTTGCCTGTAATCCCAGCACTCAGGAGGTTGACAGAGGTAGATCTCAAATTTGAGGCCAATCCGAAGTACTAAGCAAGAGCCTGTCTCAAAAGCATGTATATGTATATGTATATGTATTCAAATAGGATGAGATTATCATTCAGGAGCCTGCGCAGTGCAGTGGGCAGAAGGTGAGCAGGGGCTGGTGGTTTCTGTGTTGCCAGGATGACCTAAGTACCCCTGAGCTTAGAACTCTGAGGGCCTGTGTCTCGTCTGATGCTAATGTGGGATAGAGAAGAGCAACCTGTGCTCAAGTGTCCAGGCCACCTTGGCCTGCCTGCACTCTGGGCTCTGCTCATGTAGCTTCTTTCCTTGTGTCCTGCTGCATGGCTCCTTGGGTGGCCCTTGCGTACTTCAGAGGCAGCTAGAGGCAAACAGTAACCCTATGGGACCCCTCCAAATCCCTAGGCTGGATTCTCATAGACCGATGTGGAAAGCACTTTGGCACCATTTTGAATTACCTCCGAGATGACACTATCACCCTCCCTCAAAACCGGCAAGAAATCCAGGAATTGATGGCGGAAGCAAAATATTACCTTATTCAAGGGCTGGTGAACATGTGTCAGACTGCCCTCCAGGTACATGGCGGGCAGAGTTGGGGTGGCTTGATAAGGTTGGGAGTTGCCACTCTGAGGACGTGAGGGTTGGTTCCTGGCAGGCTGTGTAGGAAATGAGGTTGATGAGTCCAAAGCCAGCTAGAACAGTGAGGTGCTGCCCAGGTCCAGTAAACTGCTGCCTGGTATTCATGCTTGACAGTGCAAGCAGCCTGTGCTTCTCATTCATATGCCTAGGTATCTGGCCTTCAGATTTTCTGGTAATGGATATCTGCTTACCAGCTGGCAATATCTATTGCCAAAGGCTTCATGATTTGTCTGGTACCCCCTTACTAGGCAAGGGGTGGCTGTGGCAGAGGGGTTCTGGGGTTACCTAGATAAGCCTAGCTAGCGCAAGTTCTCTCATGTGTCACCCAGGACAAGAAGGACTCCTACCAGCCTGTGTGCAACATCCCCATCATCACATCCTTGAGGGAGGAAGACAGACTCATTGAATCATCCACCAAGGTACAAAGAGTTCAGAGGGCTTGGCCAGGGGATGCCAGGCTCCTGGCCTGACCCTTACTCTTTCTTCTTTGTTCCCTCACAGCCCGTAGTAAAACTGCTGTACAATAGAAGCAATAACAAGTATTCCTACACCAGGTATGGTGGTTGTCTCTGTTGGAAGCCTGGGGAAGGGCCAGAGTGGGCCTAGGGCAGCAGACCCGAGGGACTGCATATATTTTGGGCACGTATAGCATGGGGTTGAGTTTCGAAACTGCCTGTACTAAGGGAGAAAAAACAAGGATAGAAGAGAAATCAGGGCAGAGGCATTTGGAACTTGGTACATGGCCTGGTTGGGATGTAGATGATGGAATATGAAACATGTCTATAATGTGTCATGTCTGGAGTATGCCATCTATTTCCACCCCCCATGGTCTTAGTGGGTGGAAAAGGGGTTTTAGAAAGCCACTGGGCTGAGTCCTCTGAGCCTCCTGTAGCCTGCGCTTCCCACTGTGCTGGCTTTCCCCAGGGCCCTGAGTCCTTTTAACAGGCCATGGTTAGGTAGACAAAGGTGGCTGCAGGCTGAGTCCTAGACTTTTCCTGGTAAGTCCCTGTGGATATTGCATCACCCCACAGCAAAGAAGGAACGCCATCTGCTGAAGTAGCAGTGAGGGACAACTTCCCTTGTGCTCTCTACTATAACTGAAAGACAACTGGATCCCTTTCCCTCTCAGGCCCCAGACCTCAGAGGGTGCCTCCTGTCTCCCTGTCCCTGCCTTGGCTTGTCTTCATTTCAGCATGATGGTGAGGGCAGCATGTCCAGCAGTACCCCCTTGTGCTGGAGCCTCATTCCCAGGCCTATTGATCTGTGTGGTTTTTCAGCAACTCTGATGACCACCTGCTGAAAAACATTGAGCTGTTTGACAAGCTGTCCCTGCGCTTCAATGGCCGCGTGCTCTTCATCAAGGACGTCATTGGCGATGAGATCTGCTGTTGGTCTTTCTATGGCCAGGGTCGTAAGCTAGCAGAGGTGTGCTGCACTTCCATCGTATATGCCACAGAGAAGAAGCAGACCAAGGTATGGGCTTTCCTCTGCCAGGGGAACAGGCCACACAGAAGCCAGGGTGGAAAACCAGTGGTGCCCCCAATAGATCTTTCTCACAGTTGTCTGACTTTGGAGAGCTGCTTAAACCACTTTGGTCTGTTTTCTTGTTTGCAAATGTGGGAATGAGAGTCTGAGTTTAACCAATACATGACAAGGAGACAGCTTAGAAGCAGCAGTGCGGTGTGGTGGTTTTCTACTTCAGAACACTGTCCAGAACACTGTCCAGGCAAGCAGGGTGTTTTCTAGTCCTGGCTTACCGAGTCTGTTTAGTAATATCACAGTGCTCTCAGCCCACTAGTTCTGGGATTACAGGTAGAGGCCACCAAACCAGGCTGTGTGAATCACTTGATAGGGGACAATTTAGTGTCCTCCAGAGAGAGTAGCTGCTTCCTGAGTATACACCTGGAGACAGTAGCGCTTTGCCAAGCAGATCATCAGGGGAGTGAAGTGCTCTAAACAACTAGACACCGGAAGAACCATCTTGGCCCCAGACTGTCACAGTGCCTTGTTCTGGGTGGTCTGCTGAGGGTTGTGAGGACAGCTTATATGAGATGGCCCTGGTTCTTCCTGGGATTTTTGGCAGTTGGTTCAGGGGCCCAGAGGGAGAGGGACAGGGAGAGTTAGCAAGGGGGCTGTCAGTGGGGTGAGGGTTTAGGGTCTGGTTGAGCAGCAGCAGAGGCAGCAGCACTGTCATCTTCTAAGTGCTCTCTCCCAGCACTCCCTTGATGCCTCACCCCAACTGTGAGACAGGCCTGGCTGGAGCCATTCTCCCCACTCCACCTGTGTAATATGCAGATTTGCTAGAATTCTGTGGCCTTACCTGCCATTCTCCTTCCTCCATACTGATCCTAGGAGTGGACCTTCTAGGTCTTCTGCTGGGTCAGTTAAGCAATTAAAAGTTACTTGGGGGCTGGAGAGATGGCTCAAGGGTTAAGAGCACTGGCTGCTGTTGCAGAGGACCCAGGTTCGAATGCCAGCACCCACATGGCAGCTAATAACCATCCATACCCTCTCTGACCTCTGTAGGCATTGCACAGCATGGATGCACTGACCAACATGCAACCAATAGATTCATACACATAAAATTAAAATAATAAATTTAGCTGGGCATGGTGGTGCATGCCTTTAATCCCAGTAGAAGCAGAGGCAGGCGGATCTTTGTGAGTTCAGGGCCAGCCTGGTCTATATAGTGAGTTCCAGGCCAGCTGGGACTACAGGGAGACCCTGTCTCAAAAAGACCAAAACTAATGGGGCTGGAGAGATGGCTCAGTGGTTAAGAACACTGACTGTTCTTGCAGAAGACCCTCAAATCGCAGCACCCACATGGCAGCTAACAACTAACTCCAGTTCCAGGGGATCCAACAGCCTCTTCTGTCCTCGCGGGCACTGCATGATATGGGTGCACTTACCTATGTGCAGGCAATACACTCATACACATAAAATAAAAATTAAAAAAGGAACAAAACTAAATACATAAAGAACACTGGCTGTTCTTGCAGAAGACCTGGGTTTGAATCCCAGCACCCACATGGCAGCTAACAAATGTCCATAACTCCAGTTCCAGGGGGTCTGGCGGCCTCTTCTGTCCTCCACGGGTATTGCACAACATGGGTGCACTCATCTATGTGCAGGCAATACACTGCCTCTGCCTCCTGGGATTAAAGGTGTACACCACCACACCCAGCAGCTGCTTTTTATTGATGTGTTTGTTTGTTTACTGTATCAAGCTCTTTGCTGAGCTAAGCAGTGTGTATCTTTCTTGCCATATTGACAACTCTCAAGAGGTGTTAGCCTAGTTTTGTGGACACATCTGGAATCTCAGCACTGAATCTCAGGCTGAGGTAGGAGGATTGTGAGTTTGAGGCAGCGTGGGCTATATGGAGAAACTATCTTAAAAAACAGCTGGGTGTAGTGGTGCACACCTGTAGTTCCAGCACTTAGGAGTCAGAGGCAAGCGGATCTCTGTGAGTTCAAGGCCAGCTTGGTCTACATAGTGAGTTCCAGGTCAGCTGGGGCTACAGGGAGACGACGTTTCAAAAAGACCAAAAAAAAAAAAAAAGAAAAAGGATATTAACTATACATACATAATTTGCAGTTCAGAAAGTTCAGGGCCTTGCAGATAGTGTATGGAGCTGTGTGTGTACCCATACATACTAGTCATCAGTCTTGGGGTAGGGTGTGTGTCAGTCTATATCCTTAAGTCTGTACAGGACATCCGCTCACATCTTCATTAGATGGCCAGCCATCTGTGTTGTATATTAGGAGGCTTAATGAACTAGCACAAGGCCAAGAGCCCTGATATACGGCTTCCATGTTGAAATGAGACCTCACTTCTCCCCTTGTCCCCAGGTGGAATTCCCAGAGGCCCGAATCTATGAGGAGACACTCAATGTCCTACTCTATGAGACCCCTCGAGTCCCTGACAACTCCTTGTTGGAGGCCACAAGCCGGAGCCGCAGCCAGGCTTCCCCCAGTGAAGATGAGGAGACCTTTGAACTGCGGGACCGCGTGCGCCGCATCCATGTCAAGCGCTACAGCACTTACGATGACCGGCAGCTGGGCCACCAGTCTGCCCATCGTGACTGACAAGACCCTTAGGGAGTCAGGGCACAAGAAGCCCTATCTGCTACCCTATGGAGCCACACACTATTGGCCACCCTGTGTTGCTGCTGCTGCTACCTAGGTGCCTAGTCTGGCTTGTAGAGGTGACAGGCCCTGCCTGGGAGGTCAGGGGGCCTGGCAAGGGAAGGATCACATACCCTTGTCCTGCCCTCCTCCCCCCAACACTTCAAAATCCATCTCCTTTCTTGCCAGACAGGATGCTGCCTCTGCTCTGGGGTGAGCTGATTTCCAGCCTCCTGCTAAGAACATTCCCCTAGTCCCTTTGATGAGCTCCCCTTTCCTCTGCTGAAGGGCTCCTTTGGCTGAGGCCCATAGGTACAGCTTCATGCTGGGGGAAAGGCGGCTTCTGGTGCTGTGGAGGCCTGGCTTTTAACAGAAAATGGGGCTTCTTTTTTCCTGGCGTTTAAACACAGGTGTGACCTGTTTTGTTTTTTTAAAATCTAGATGTTGGGATGGTAGTACATGCCTTTATGAGCACAGCTATTTGAGAGGCTATTTGAGGATAGCAAGTTCAAATTCAGCCTAGGAAACTTAGCAAGACCCTCTCTTCAACTTTTAAAAAGGGGGCTAGTGATGAAGCTCAGTGATAGAGTGCTTGCCTGGTATTGGTGAGGCCTGGGTTCAATCTCTAGTACTATCCCCCCACCCCCAATCTAGAAAATGACTAATTTTGAGTCTGAGAGACTAGGAGTAAGCATTTGTTATTCCAGCAGGGTGCCAGGACCCTGCCTATGGAACCCCTACCCTCACCTCACTCCCTAGCTCTTCTCAATGCTTTTAGGATCTGTCTTTAAAGCACTCTGTACTGTTTGCCATTTAGGAGACTCATTCTGCCTTGACCCAGGGCTTTTTCTAACTCTAATCCCCTCTTTTCCTGCAGAATCTAAGGAAAGGGATAAAGAAGCAATGATAACCAGGTGTGGGTAGCACATGCTGTGCCAGAACTCAAATGCTGAGGCAGAAGGATCACAGGTTTGAGACTAGCCTATGCTACATAGTAAATTCCAGGCCACCCTGGGCTACATAGCGAGACCCTGTCTTTAAAAAAATGAAACTCAACTGACATGCTTTGGCTTTGCCTAGCTGGCTGATCAACCCAAAGAATACCAAGGGAAAGATGCCCAAGTAAGGACCTGTGGTTTTAATAGCATCCCATCGGAAAAGGCGTTTCACCCCCGCATCATGGAGTCACTCACTGATTCCTTAGATCTAAGAGGATTACTTGTTTCGAGTCTCATCTTTGGGTGCTTTCAGCTCTAAGACGTGATGTCCTCACAGACTATAAAACCAAAAGCTGTCATGGGGACCACCCACACAAGCTGCAGCAGGAAGGCTGTGGAGCCACCAGCTAAGGACAGCAAACTCAGAGCCCCATGCTGTCAGCAGCCCATATAGAGGTGGCCCAGACAGCCATACCTCTGCCCACCCCAGACAGCATGTCTTAGTTGGTGTTCTGGTTGTTGGTGTCGGTTCTGCCTGGTAATAAATCTTTGAATACAGAGTAGCAGGGGCAACTTAAGCCTTTTGAAAGGCCCTTATTTCTTTGGGCTTGACCATGAAGGTACCAAGCATTAGACTGGGTGTTGAGTTCCTCTTCTGAGTTTTGGTTTTCTTCTCCTTTGTTCAGCTTGGCCCTCCTATTTGGATTCTTTCCAGAGGAATCCTGTCATGGAGGGAGCCCAACAGCAGTGTCCTTAGACAGTCCCTCAGGGAGGAGCACAGGTTGTCAGCTTCATCCCTCTTGACTACTCTTTATGATTGCCAAACAACTGCATACAGCTCATCCCTCAGAGCCTGTGGATAGATGCCAGGCCCAGGGTTGGGCACTCACAAGGACCTGACATGATGTAATAGAGCAGGGAAAATGGGAAATGTGATTTAGTAATCAGGTGTTTTGTTCATCACAGTCTTGAATGTATAACCAGCTCTGAGAGACTCATGTTAGGCACCTTGGTGATCAGCTACGAGTTCTTCCAGCTTCCACTCAAGTTAAGATGACAATCCATTTCTTTGGCCAAATTCAGGCTTTGGCTTTGAAGCTTTCCCACAGAGACTGGAATGTTGCAGCCTGAGGCCACTGGCCTATTTTCTCAGCTGTGTCCTCAAGAAGCCCTTTAATATTCAGATTCCAAGTTCCAACCTGAGGTATTTCCAGTTTGTTCGTTGATGCCCACATCCCTTTTAGCCTCTAGTTGGTGCTTTGACATTTAGATCCTCAGCTGTCTCAGTGATGTCTAGTCTTTGGTCCTGAGAAAGCACAGTACAGCAGTAGTCCTGGGCTGAGGCATCATCATCATCTCTGACCAAAAACATCTCCTTGGTCTTAGGGCAAACACTAACACTGAATTCACTGAAGTGATCTTATCTTTTCTTGAACTTTGTGGCTTAGGGGTTTGTAGGATTTCCCAGTCCCATTCATAAAGTAGTTCTCGGCAGGATTAATTTTTCAACTATAAGCAGGAGGGGAAAACACAAAGTATGGATGAAGGTCCAACTGGAAGCTGTTAACAGCAGGTACCAGCAGTGGGTTTTGTTGAACTTGGTATGTATGTGACTATGGTCTGCCTGAAGGGTGGCACAGGTCCTGGCATGAAAGAATGTTTTATCACATCACTGCAACCTTGGTTGCTCACCCTAAGTGATGGGAACAAACGCTAATTTCTAATAAAATTGTGTTATGTTGCAACGGTGTGGAGTCATGTTTACAGTGAGTGGAAAGCCTGGCCAGCTCACAGCTGTGGACTCAGCTCTTGTTATTTTTGTTTCTACAATGACCTTGTGTGCTGGCTTGCTGTTGGCCTACAACCCAAGCTCCCCCGGTAGAGGATTAAGAACAATACTCAAGCCGGGCGTGGTGGCGCACACCTTTAATCCCAGCACTCCGGAGGCAGGGGCAGGCGAATCTCTGTGAGTTCAAGGCCAGCCTGGTCTACGTAGTGAGTTCCAGGACTGCTGGAGCTACAGGGAGACCCTGTCTCAAAAAGACCAAAAAAAATAAAAGGACTGGAACTGAGATTTAATATTAATGCATGAATGAAATGACCTCTAACAATGACCCCAGTGGTTGTAGTGGTGGTAGTGGTGAAGGAATCCCAACAATAGGGGCAAAATGCAGTCCAATTCTTCTCTGGCTCTTGGAGATCTGGGAAGTTCGGGAAGCAGCTTGGCTTGGCCAACTGTCCACACCTTAAACTGCTCCTTGGCTGAATTCCTACTGTACTGTGGTCTGTATGCTGACAGACCTTTACGCATGTTCAAAAAACCACTGCTCCAGGAAGCCTGACTGATTTGCCTCACTTCTCTCACAGGCCTAATGAAGCCAGAGGTGCTGGTAGCTGATCAGTGTTTAGAGCCTGGCCTCCTCAGTACTTTACACAGGGGGGTAAAGAAGAGACCCAAGAGTTCAGTCTAGTGCCCTTGGGAGATACGTACTCTGGTAGAGGCAGCCTTCTTAGAAATGACTTATAATGGAAAGCAAACAAGAGTCTCCACTGGATGAGAAAGGGAGCCTGAGACCCTAGGGGCAAAATGGCCAGGGTGGCCAAGCGAGCACTGATTTATTGACCAAACCTCACATTCCAGACAACCTGTAATAGCTGAACAGAGTTCCTTGACAGAAAGCTTTGCTGGAACATGGAACAGTCAGGTTTTGGGAGGAGGCCAACTTTGGAGGAGTCCTATGTGTGTTTTCCAAGAAAACAGTTACAATCCCCTTCCAAAAGAGAACCCCACAATTAAGAGACCCATTGTGGCCCATGACAGGGAAGATTAGAGTTCTGCAGTAATTGTGGGTTGAAAGCTGTTCTCAGAGGCCCAGCCTGGGCACTCAGGACCTCAGCTGGCCTACCAGTGAAGGCCTGAGGGTGGTGTCTTCTCATCTTTATTGCTTTCCAGAGAGAAGGGTGGGATTCGGACATCAAAGTGGGAGCCATCAGGTCTCTCAAAACGAAATGTGCCCCTGAGGATCAGAGAGGCTGGGTTAGAGGGAGTAAGGGCTGAACTGAAGCCCTTGACCTTTGTGGTCCCATGTCCTCAGCTCCAGAGCCACAAATGAATGAGGCAGGCTAGGATTGTTTCCAGTGTAGTTCCCGATAGGGTAACCAGAGACCTAAGAACCCTTTTTGGCTATCCACAAAAGCACAACTATTCAGATTCTGGCTCTTCAACGCATTCTACATAAGTTGCCCACCTGCTCTTTAAGGTATGACAAACTACAGGGAAAACCCAACTATATGAGCAATTCAGTTCTATCCCGACTGTCCTTAGCCCACAGATCTTAAGGAACCAGGACACAGTAATAAAAACCAGAGGAGTCTTAGACGACAATGAATAGCACCCAATATTCCTATCTTAGGACCTAACCCTGCTGAACTGACCACAAGTTTAGCTTGCTATGAGTTCTCACTTTTGTTGTTGCCATGAGCTGAGACATGAGACAGTTTCACTATGTAATCTGGGTTGGCCTGGAACTCATAATCCTACCTCAACTTCCCAAGTACTGGGATCTCACTTTTCTAACCAGCAGCTGCCTGTAAGTTCAAAAGCACTTGCTCCAGCACACACACTTACCACATGTGCCCACTGGAAGCTTGTAGGGAGACATGGCTGCTATACTGGAATGCAGGCTGCTCTTTGGATAACACTGGCTCCTGTAAGAATTTAGGCAAAATGGGTCAAGCCAATCCACAGAGACATGGTCTCCAGGAACACATGCTGACTGACTGGATGTTCCAATCAACCAACCACTGCAGCACACACTTCTACAATGACTGCCTTTCAGTATTTCTACCACATCATGGCCAGTGGCTTGAGCCTTTCATTCTGGGAATCAAACCCAGGTCCTCTCCAAGAGCAGAACTCTTTAACTATTGAGCCATAGTCCAGGCTGGACTGGAACTCACTATGTAGATGAGGCTGGCCTCGAACTCACAGAGATCTACCTGCCTCTGCCTCCCGAATGCTGGAGTAAAGGCATGCACTACCATGTCTGGCTTTATTTTGTTTTTTCAAAGTTTTACCAAATAGCCCAAGCTGGCCTCAAATTCATGATAGTACTCCTGCCTCAGCTTCTGGTACAGGTGTGTTGCCACACACCCAGCCCAAGCCCTATTCACTTTTTGTTGTTGTTGTTGTTTTTGAGACAGGGTTTCCCTGTAACCCCAGCTGGCATGGAAATTCCTATGTAGACCAGTCTGGCCTTGATCTCACAGAGGCCTCTGCCTCCCGAGTGCTAGAATTAAAGGCATTCGCATTGTGCCTGGCCCTGTTCACTTTATCACCCTATTTTCTCTATTCCCTCCTAACAATGGTGCTACTTGTGACTTTATTTCTCAAGACACAGGGCAGGATAGGGGAACATAAAACCAAATCTCTTCAAGGACCAGCAGATGTGTAAGTACAAAAGAGACAAGACAGCTGGGCATTGTGGCGCACACCTTTAATCCCAGCACTTGGGAGGCAGAGGCAGGCGGATCTCTGTGAATTCAAGGCCAGCCTGGTCTACATAGTGAGTTCCAGGACAGCTGGGGCTACAGGGAGACCCTGTCTCAAAAAGACCAAAAAAAGAGACAAGACAGCCAGGAGTGGTGGTAGTGCATGTCCCAAATTCAGAGGGTTTTTGGTTGTTATTTCGGGGAGGTGTTTAACTACATTTATTTATATTTGTGTGTGTGTGTGTGTGTGTGTGTGTAGTTCAGAGGAGTGAGTTCTCTCTACAATGTGAGTTGAACTCAGGTTATCAGGCTTGGTAGCAAGTGCCTTTACCCACTGAGCCATCCTTCCAGGTCATATTAAGTTTTTTTTTTTTTTTTAAACAGGGTCTCATGTAGCCCAGGCTGGCTTCAAACCTGCTATGTAGCCCAAATACAACCTTAAATTCTTCTCTTCCTGCCTTTGTTTCCCCCCAGATTTAGAATTTTAAAAGACAGCTGGATATGATGTAGCTTTGGTGGTACAGCACTTTTCTAACATGCACAAAGCCCTGAGTTTGATCCCCAGTATGTGTGGGTGTGTGTGAGGGGTGGCATTAAGAAGATATTATGCTATGCAACAGAAAGTACACAAACTTTGATTTTCAGATACACTTGGATTTAAATCCCAGGTGATAGGCTCAATTAATTAGCATTCGTCTTTTTAAAATATGTTGGTGTTTTTTGAGACAGGGTCTCTTGTATCCCAGGCTGGCCTCCAACTTGCTTTGTAGTCAAGGATGACCTTGAACTTCCCAAGTGCTAGGACTATATACCAAGTGCTAAGACTAGTACCACCATGTGTTTATGTGTTACTAGGGATCAAACCCATGGTTTCATGCATGTTAGGCAGGCATTCTATCAACTGGGCTACATCCACAGTCCCTTATTAATTAGCTTCTAAGTTTCACTCATCATCTGTGAACTGGATTAAAGACAACTTGTTCCATGGGGTTGTTGTAAAAAGAACCAGTGCGTTCATACAAGGAGCCTCCATCTATAACCAGAGAGAGGAAACTATGTACTAAGACCCCAGGCTTGTTGGCAGGTCCAGCAACTGGGCCTTAGTGGCTGAATGATACTCACCCTGCCCACCACCCCTCGTCCTCGAACTGTCTCCAAGGTGCCTGAGAGACTGAATATCCGCCAGTGCCGCTCCCGGAGCTGTACCACATCACTGTCCAAATTCTCCAAGCGTATACAGTAGCGCCACTGTGAGAGAGAAAGTTCGTGTTTGAGGAAGAATATTCCTAAGGCCATCCCATCCAGAATTCTGGAGAGTAAAAGGCAACAAAGGCTGACACCTGCATTGTACAGACTCCACCCTAACCAGCAGGTAAAGGCCACACCTCCACACCCAACCCTGAGACACTTCTTGAGCTCCTGCTCCCCTGAGGGAGACACTCACCCAGTAGACGTGGGAATTCTGGGCTTCCTGGGAGGGGAAGAAAAAGGGTTTCAGGGTAAGATTAAGTGTTCCAATCAATGGGTCTCAAATGAGGTATTCCTGGAAGGTTGTAGAGACTGATCAAGTTGTGAATGTGTGAGCTGATGATGAATGTGACAGAACTATGGCCATAAGCTCCCAGGAAGGCAGCCTCCCCTGCGTCCTTCCTGTCTTGACCCCTCCACATCCCAATCTTATCAAAACCAACAGTGGTTGGATGCTGAGAGAAATCAACTACAGCATTTTTACTTTTCTCACCATCCCTAACCCCATCACTGCCACCCTGGGCCCCAGTCGTCTTCTCCACAGCCTTCTTCTTACTGCCATGCTTTGTTGGACGCTGACCTTCCCTATGACTGTGAGTCCTAAAAGGCAGGAGGTCTTCCATTTATATTTGTGTTTACAGGCCTAACTTAAGAGGAAGGCAAGACAACAGATCAAGAAATATTTGCTACTATGTACAAAGTGTAAAAATCAATCCACACTGATTTAGGCAAGCATGCAGGCATTCCTCATAAACAAGACCCTCTCTTCCAGAGAGAAGAATGAGGAACTGGCATGAAGGCCTCCTTCCTGGAGTCTGTGGGTTTCCTGCTTTAGGTCATGATGTTGGCCACTGTCAAGAGGCTACTCAACCTCACCCAATACACAAGCACTTGGCGGCAGAACCATGAAGATAGTTTAAGGTTAGATACCACCCCCCCCAATCCCAGTGGTCACATGAGGGATATTACAGAGACTACTTCTTTTTTCGGGAGGGAGGGAGGGGTCCTCACTATATAGGGTCACACCATATAGCCCTGGTTAGTGTGAACTCAGGGATACCACATAGAATCTGGGACCTAGTCCTGTGGAAGGGGTCAGGCTAGCACATACCCTCATGCCCATATAGAAAGGGATGACTGTGACACGGATGTTCTCAGTTGTTTCTCGGTGGACATCCGAAAGCTCTAGCCAGGGATGGTTCTTCTCTTGCCAGGCCCGTAGTGTTTCCCGAGCCACAAAAGGGGGTGCTGGGAGAAGAGACAACAAGTTAGTCCAGACCAGAGTCCTTGGCATAACAACCATTTCCAACTGCCTCTCCTAGAAACCCCTTCCCAGCTATGCCCAAGTGACTAAGAGCCACTGATGGAGCAAAGGAAGGCTGGAAAAAGGCACAGGGCTGCTACCAAGAATAAACCCCAAGGGTAGTATGACATGATGGGAAAGGAACTGGACTAGGAGTTAAGAGGCCTGGTTTTTGGACCTAGAGTACTACCTAGCAGTCTTCAGTTGTTTCTCATCAACCATCCTCCAGCCTCTGTTTCTACTTGTATAAGGAAACAGTAAACTACTAACCGCAGAGGACAAGGGGAGGTTAAGAAGGGCTGTGGAACTAGAGAAGCCAACTATTTCTATGAAACTGCTTGAAGAAAGGGCTTCTCATTCCTGCCTCTCTTCTGAGAGCAATTACCTTTTGTCTGGTCATACAGAAGAAATCTTTCAAAGAGTTCATGTTGGATGGGAACCTGATCCGTGGAGGCATAGGGGAGGATGTCTTCATGGCTGACATAGTCAAGGCCTGGCATAGAGAAGCAAAGCCAGTAAGACTCACAGGCCATAGAAGTAAGGCTGAGAGGAAAGACCTACTGGCCTTGCCCAAAGCAGGCAACCCTGGCACTGTATCTCTCAGTACCACGATCCCTCCCAACAGATGACAGGGCATCAGAATCCTCTCCCAGGGACACTCTGGACCCCTTCTCCTCAGGTACCATTTGGACGCTAACTCCTCACCTGGGATGGCATAGAGGGCCCGGCTGTCATCATGGTTAGCCAAGAAGGTCACAGCTTCTGTCTGAGATCTCTGAGACTAAAGCAAAAGGAAGTCAAGGGTTTCTTGGTCACTATTCAATCCTGAAGCCTTGAGGCCTAGGGCTGCTCTTAGCCCTGCAGACTGCTCTTTGTCCTGAAAAGGGTGCAAGCCCTTCCCATGGAGAGAACACCAGACCCGGCTATATTGCTTACTTACTATATGTGGACAGTCACGGGCATCAATCAGCACCTGATAGTAAGTGTGAGTTTTGCCTTTCACCTCCTTAGAGCCATGGCCTGCAGGGTTCTCTGCTCTGTGGGGTGAGAGAAGCAGCCCAGATCATCCCAAGAGAAGAGGAAGCTGTGCTTGACTCAGCAAGCATATGGCACAGGTGGGGCACCTGCCCAATAACACCTCCCAGGAACACCCCATGCCCTACCCTCCCTCCCCATAGCAGTGGAGATGGTGGATCCTGGAGGGTCCGTGCAGTTACCACTATCTCACTCTTTGGGTACCTCCTGGAAGGTCATGTAAAGAGCCCCATTGCTACCTTAGTCCTCAGGGCTACGAGGACCCTGTGCTTCTCCAACCCCAGGGTGATCTGTGATTATTCAGTGGAGCTGTGCCTTTCTCTTTTAATGTACTCCAGTGATGATATGAGATTAAAGGAAAGATTCCAACTGGACATGAAGAAATTAAGAAGACTGCTGCTCTCTAAAATGCCCTCTGGGGTACCAATTATAAAAGGGAGAGCAGCTGGGCATGGTAGCACACTTTTAATCCCAGCACTCAGGAGGAAGAGGCAAGTGCATCTCTGTGAGATTGAGGCTAGCCTGGTCTACATAGTGAGTTCCAGGCCAGCTGGGACTACAGGGAAACCCTGTCTCAAAAAAATGGGGGGGGGGGGTACAGTGTGGGAATCCATTTAGGGGAAATAATGGAACTCTCTGTCCTTAGCATTCAGGACTTTTGTCTCCATGGGTATTAGTGCCAGAGAAATACTCTGGGACTATTTCTAAAGCCCAGGAGGATGCTGTCTTTACTCCTGAGGCTCCAACTGCGTATGTCTGCTGTGAGTCAGGCCTCCTCCCAAGGATACCACGAGGCATGACAGAGAAACTTACTTTTCTGGAGCTGCAGAAGCCACATCCCGGTCATAGAGTCTGGCCTGCCATGGAAACAGGACAACCCCTCGGTAGCCAAAAACACTATGAAGGAAAAGCTAGGAGGAAAGAGAGACCTCAGTGAGTCTGTAGTTCAGCAGATCCATCCAAGAGGAGGCTGACATGAAGCAGCACAGACGGAGGCAACTGAAGCGCACAGCTGCCAGCTTTCCCCTTGAATGTTGTGATGAACCCAGGCAGTACTCTCATACTTCATCACCAGGCTGGCTACACTCATCTTTCAGGTCACCTCTGCCCTTTAAGAAACTTTCCTTGACCTGCTCTCTTCTTAGTCCAATGGAGAGTCACTGACCATATTTCTTTTTTTAAAAAAAGGATTTATTTGCCAGGCGTGGTGGCACATCTTTAATCCCAGCTCTCGGAAGGCAGAGGCAGGTGGACCTCTATGAGTTCAAGGCCAGCCTAATCTACATAGTGAGTTCTAAGCCAGCTGGGGCTACAGGGAGACCCTGTCTCAAAAAGACCAAAAAAAAAAAAAAAATGTGTTTTACTTTTAATTGTGTGTGTGTGTGTGTGTGCACATGAATGTGGGTGCCTAAAGAGGCCAGAGGAGTTGTGAGCCACAAATGTGGGTGTTGGAAACCAAACTGAGGTCCTTTGGAAGACCAGTAAGTGCTCTTAAGTGCTGAGCCATCTCTTTAGTCAGTCCTTATTGACCATATTTCTGTCATTAATACTTTTCCTTCCAGAAAGAAAAGAACCCTAATGTACAAAGCCTGGTAATTTTTAGGCATAAAAAATAAACTTTTAAAAGCTTCCCTTACTTACAATGGACCTAAATCTACCCCAGAGGACCTAGAACAAAGCTGATACACACACACACACACACACACACACACACACACACACATCAAAAAAAAAAAAAAAAAAAGCCTAACATCCATAGCTTACACAACATCATCATGAAACAAACAAAAGTTTGCTTTTCTGAAAGCTCCCTCTACTAACTTCTACCATCTATTACAGTGGAGGTCTCTTCAGTAGGCTGGCTTTCTCCTCACAGTAGTAATTAATCCCTGCCCATACCAACTGGGAAAGAGAACCCACTGACATATCAAGTACATTTAAATCCAGGAACACTTAAACCTCATCTGTGTTTCAGAGGGTTTTGGACTTTTGTGGGGTCTTGAAATGGTCTCATGTATCCCAGGCTGCTCTCAATCTTGCTAGATTGCTGAGGATGACTTTGAACTCCTGATTCTCCTGCCTCCACTTCCCAACTGTTGGAATTACAGGAATATGGTAGAACCCAGAGCTGCATGCATCCTAAGCACTTTGCTATCAACAAAGCTACATCCCTAGCCCATTTTCTGTTTTTAACAAGAATCCTTTTTTTTTTTTTTGGTCTTTTTGAGACAGGGTCTCCCTGTAGCCCCAGCTGTCCTGGAACTCTCTATGTAGACCAGGCTGGCCTTGAACTCACAGAGATCTGCCTGCCTCTGCCTCCCGAGTGCTGGGATTAAAGGCGTACACCACCACGCCCGGCTAACAAGAATCTTTTTAAAATTTATTATTATTATTACTATTGGGAAAGGTGGGCATGGACACCATGATGTGTGTGTATGGAGGTCAGAGAACAAATTTGTGGACTCCATTCTCTTCTTCCACCTTTACCTGGGCTCCAGATAGTGAACCCAGGTTGCTAGGCTTGCTCAGCAAATGCTTTTACCAGCTGAGCCACATCACTGCCCTGTTTTACAGGTTGTTTTATTTGTCTGTCTGTTTTGTTGGTTTTGATTTTTTGCTTTTTTTTTGAGACAAGATCTCACTATGTAGCCCAGCTGGCCTAGAATTCAGTATGTAGACTAGGCTGGCCTCAAACCATAGAGATCCTCCTGCCTCTGCCTCCTGAGTACTGAGATTAAAGTACTGAGATTAAGACAGGCCCACCATGCCCAGCCCATTTGTTTTTGAGACAAGGTATCACTATGCAGCCCTGGCTGGGCATCAAAATTGGAGTCATTCTTCTGCCTTTGCCTCCTAAGTGCTTCGGGTTATATGCTATTGCACACTGTCTCCAGAAACTTCATCTTTAAAAAAATCTGTGATTCTAATGGACACATAACATGCACATACACACATGCACATACATGCATAAACATACACACATACAAAATAAATAAATGTAAAATACCTTTGGGCCAGCAAGATGGCGCTACAGGTAAAGGTACTTGCTGCCAACACTGACGACCTGAGTTTGATCCCCAGGACCCACGTGGTAGGAGAACCAACTTCACAAAAGTTGTCCTTTGAGCTCCGTGCATGAGCGCACATGCATGCACACACATGCACATGTACATGCACACAGACGCACACGGGCACACACACTCATGCAAAATAAATCAAAATATAAGTTGTTTTTTTTTTTTTTAATTTCTGATTCTGGGCTGGAGAGATGACTCAGCAGTTAAGAGCACTGGCTGCTCTTGCAGAGGACCTGGGTTCAATTCCCAGCACCCACACAGTGGCCAACAACCATCCATAACCCCAGTTCCAGGGGTTCCAATACCTTCTTCTGATTCCTGCAGGCATTGCATGACATGGGTGCACTTACATGCAGTCAATATTCATACACATCAAATAAAATAAAAAAAATTCTGATTCTGGGGCTGGAGAGATGTTTCAGTGGCTAAGAGAACTTACTGCTCTTCCAAATGACCTGGGTTCAGTTCCTACCACCCACATAGCAGCTAACACCCACCCTTAACTCCAGTTCCAGGGGACCTGACACTCTCTTCTGGCTTCCATGGACACTGCACATATGTGGTGCACTAACATACATGCAGGCAAAACACTCATACACATAAAAAATAAAATCCCCCCAAAATATTTTTTTTTAAATTTCTGATTCTGCTGGGCGTGGTGGCGCACACCTTTAATCCCAGCAGAGGCAGAGCGCAGACGCAGGAGGATCTCTGTGTGTTCAAGGCCAGCCTGGTCTACATAGTGAGTTCTAGGACAGCTGGGGCTACAAGGAGACCCGGTCTCAAAAAGACCAAAAAAAAAAAAAAAAAAAAAAAAATTTTGATTCTGAGCTGAGGGTAGTGGCATGCACTTGTAATCCCAGCACTTGGGAAACTAAGGAAGTATGATTACAGGTTAAAGGTCAGCCTGGGCTACATAGAAAAGCATGACTTAAACCCAAAATCTGTGATCCCGCTCAACCACCAAACCTTAAGTTTAGGGTACTGCTTAGCAGTATAGCTTTTTCGTAGCATCCATTAGGCACTGGATTTGATCCCTAGCACTGGGATCAAACTGGAATGAACTGAAAGCCATACTACTGAGATTCAGTCCTGTGACCAAATCTGGCTCCATTCAGAAATAGAACACTCCATGAAAATGAAAGCTGATCCAGCCCAGTACTTACCTGCCCAGTCTCATATTTTCCATTCTGTTTTGGCACCTCAAACACACCAACTGTCTCCAACACTTTGCCCTCTGCACGGTTTCTGATTAGAAACAGAAAGAAATACTAAATGAAAAACTGAGAAGGTAATGGTCCTTCTTTATCAGGAAGGAAAAAACAAAAAAAAACAAAACTAGAATATTGAGGCCAGGACAGTGACAGCAAAGGACTAGGACAGTGTGGTCAGCAGAAACAGGATGTTGCCTTTCTTCCTTTAAGGTCCAGCGACAGGTCTCTACTTGGTGAAGACCTTCCGGATCTCCCAGTATTAGATCCAAATGCCCCAATTTACTTTCTTCTCTCTCCACTTTGCACGCAAAAGGCCATGCCTGTATATCTGCTTATACGTACCCCCCCAAAAAAAACACACAATTTCTTGCCTGACACACCCTCCTGGCCTCCACAATGTTAACAGTCCTTCCCACTTCAGTTATTGGTGTCCATGCCTTCCATCCATTAGAGACTGTAAATTCTGAGAGCAATGCTTGTGTGTGATTAGCCTGTGCTTATCAAAGCCTAGTGTGTAAGAGGTACTTAAAACAGTGTTCCTAGGCAGGCAGTTCCATTTCTGTCCTTGCCCACTGCTCCCCTGCAATGCGCTCAATAAACTTGCCTTTTTCTACTTTGAAAAATTGTTTGAAAAATTGTTCTGAACCAGGCATGATAACACACACCTGTAATCCCAGTACTTCTGAGGCCGAGGCAGGAAGATTACAAGTTCCAGGCCAACCTGGCTACATAGTGGGGCTCTCCCTCAAAAGGGGCGGAGGTCCTGTATCATAATTCTATATCCCTCTCCCCTCTAACTACAATAGCCCTCACCCTGACCTTCAGGACTTAATCATCTCTAGATTCCCTATTTTATTCCACACATTACATTAGTACTGCAGTCTCTCTATATAATTTTTGTTTGGATTTACAACCGTTTTAAATAGCAAATAAATACCATCCCTCCCCAATATGCATCTAGCTTCAGCCACTATCAGGTCAGCTCGGCAGTTACCTCTAAATAGGGCTAATTTTTCTATGGACCCTGCAAAGCACTGTGCTTCTATTGGGAAATGATAATTTCATATCCGATTTGATTGTCCAATCTCATCCCTAAAATATCTGTTCACACCATCCCCAAGTCCTGTTCCCCAAGTAATGCAGTGCAAGCCAGTCTTCCCAAGGTCACACAGAAACCTAGAACCCACAAAGGCTGGTACTGAAGTAGATTTGTTTCCCACTTCTAGCATCTTTCTGAGAGAAGCCATGACCCAATAGGGGCTCAGGACCAAAATCACAATCCCTAGGGCTGTATTAAAAGGCAGCCCACTCCAGGTACTGGGGACCCAGCCGGGAAGGGAGGCTCGGCTGGAGAGTCGTTTACTGTGTCTCGGAGCTGCTCTGCACGACCGGGGCCCTGGGCCGCGCTCTCGTCTCTGCTCCTGGCACAGGTCCCAGGCAGACAGCGCACGGCTGTGCCCTACTCGGGACCCTCTCTCTGGTCGGCCTCGGGTCGCCCTAATGCGGCCCAGCCTCCGGGCCGTCCAGGAACACACTCCTAGATCCTGGGCCCGGCCCCCGAGCCTCCGCGCTCTGTCCCTCACCGGGACGACAGATGCCTTCGCGTCGTCGCAGTCGCCACCAGCAGACAGGCCCCTGCTCCTCTGGCCGCACATAACGGCCTCAACCCCCGGGGGGCGGCCAGAGACCGGGCCCACCAGCGGCTGCCCACGGCCAGGGCCCGCCGGCCCGCACAGGTTGCCATGGCCCGCCCGAGCACTCGCTCGGTCACAGACACAGGGCCGAACCCGTGGCGGGGCGATGTCCGCCCCCGCCCCACACTGCCCCGCGCCAAGGCCCCGCCCCCTGGGCCTCCGCCCTGCCCCACAGACTCCGGCGCCTTCCGGCGGGCCGGAAGTCCAAGTTCAGGATCACCTGATCTGAGTTAAACATGGCGTCTTCCTTGCTGGCCGGTGGACGACTCGTACGCGCTTTGGGCCCGGGTGGGGAACTGGAGCGGGAGCAGCTGCCCCGGCAGCTGCGGGCTCAGCTCGAGGCCGCGCTGAGAAAGAAGCACACGGCCAGTGACAGCTCCAGTCCCCGACGCCTGGTTTCCTTCCGACTGATCCGGGATCTACAACAGTACCTGAGAGAAAGAGGTGAGCCAGTTCGCAGTGTAGTCGCCTCCCTGTTGTCAGGGCTACTTCTTCCTGAAGTTTTTTTTTTTTTCTAGCACGCTCCCTCGCCTGCTCACAAACTCGAGTCACCAGTTCCATCTCAACTTCTATGGAATTTCTTCGTGCACGACAAAATGTAGTTGCAGGTTTTATTGAGTCTCCTCTTGTAGACCCACCTAAGTCCACCCTGACATTTGACCTTGACATTCTAGCCCAATTCCACCTCCCAGTTGAGTTTCTCCTTTTTTGCCACACGCAGAACTAACTGCAATGTGTGCTTGACCTGTTTGGAAACAGATTTTTCTTTCCATCTCAAAGGAAGAGTGGAGAATTCTGATTCTCCACCCACTTATGGGTGGGGGTAGAATGACAAAAGCTGTATTGAAAGATCTGAGCCCAGAGTGACATCTGAGTTTTAGTCCTATTAACTTCTGTTGAAGAAGTCATTTCTCCTCCCTGGGACTCAGTTTCCTTATCTGTTAAGGGAAAAACAGGACAAACTAATATGTAACATGTTTTGCCAGAATTAATATATCTCGGCCAGGAGTGCAAAGGGTAGACTGCTCAACTATTAGAACTAAAATGGACCTTAGAAAAAGATTATCTAACACAGTATGGGCACTGAGCAGCAGCTGGAGACCAAGCAGCAGCAGGCACAGACCCATCCAGCCTTCACCTTCCACTGGGTCCACAGCCAGCTAGAAGCCAGAGACTGGCTGACTGATGGCTAACAACCTCACCCCAGACACTGCCCTGTCCCGGGCCCTGTCCCTGCCTACAGCGTATCCCCTGGCCAGCCCAGACCTAACGGGCCCTGCTAGAACAGTACTCAGAGCTACTGGTGCAGACTGTTGCAGAAGGGGCAGACTGCAAGACGTGGTGGGGAAGTGGGGGGAGGGCAACAATACAGGGGACAGGATGATGACACCAGAGAGCCCACAGCCCCCCTACCACAGCCCTGCTGCTCTGGAGAAATAGAGTTTTTTAAGAAAATAAACTGGTAGTGGTTTCCAGGTGGTACGAGGAAGAAAAAGTTTAAAAAATTGTCCTGGGAGTGGATTAACATGTTTTTATTTTGGTAAAAAAAAAGGGGGGGGGGCTACCCCCTTCTCTGCTCTTAGTCTTTCAGCCTCACCTTCATGGGTCATTGTGTTGAACCTTTTTCTTCCCAGATTCCACACTATACCTTCATGAACTCCTAGAAGGAAGTGAAATCTATCTCCCAGAGGTTGTAAAGCCTCCCCGGGTATGTAAGGGATGAATTTGTGAGAGTGGGTATTGGTTTCATTTGATGTCAATTTTATTAATCAACTTTTGGGTTTGAAATTGTGTCTTTTGAATCTTTGGAATGCATGGGGTGTGGCTTCACGTATTAGTGCTTGCCTAGTATACACTCAGCCTTGGGTTCAGTCCCCTAGGACCACTAAATCAGTGAATGAATAAATAAACAAATAAGTAAGTAAATAAAATTTGGGGGCTTGTGAAATGACCACTGGGTGGGGCTGCTTGCTATCAAACCTCATGACCTGGGTTCAGTTCCCAGGACCACATGGTAGAGTAAAAGCACTGACATCCCAGGTTGTCCCCTCACTTCCACACATGTGCTGTAGCAAATGTACACACACACACACACCCACACACACACACACACACACAGAAACCAGTAAGATTTTTAAATTTCTTAAGATTTAATTTTAATTATGTGTATGTGTGGAGCACTGGCTGCTCTTGCAGAGGACCCAGATTCAGTTCTCAGCACCCACATGGCTGCTAACAGCTGTTCATAACTCCAGTTCCAGGGGATCTGACACCCTCTTCTGACCTCTGCAGGCATTACACACAGTACACTTAACATACATGCAGGCAAAATATAAACATAAAATTTTTTTTTTAATTTTATGTGTATAAGTGTATTGCCTGCATGTATATAAATGCACCCATGTTGTGCAATACTGGAGGAGGTCAGAAGAGGGCATTGGATCCCCTGGAACTGGAGTTATGAATGGTTGTTAGCCACCATATGGATACTGGGATCTGAACCCAGGTCCTCTACAAGAGCAGCTGGTGCTCTTACCCAGGTCCTCTGCAAGAGCAGCTGGTGCTCTTAACTACCAAGCCATCTCTCCAGCCCATAAAAAAAAGTTTTTAAGTAAAATAAAATAAAAATCTTTGGTATCTGAGGTGAGTAAACCAAGTATTGCTTCATCTGACAACTTTGAAAACAGAGATCCAATCAACCATTTTCCAAAACAGTGGAACTATAATTGATATGTGTATGTCCTGGTACCCTTTCAGTACAGTGCAGTTTGGAACCAGTGACCATGATATGTGTTGTAGCAAGAAGTATATAGAAGAATGTCATTCTTCCTCTGTAATTTTCCTGCTTTAGAATCCAGAACTAGTTGCCCGACTCGAGAAGATTAAGATCCAGCTGGCCAATGAAGAATATAAGCGGATCACTCGCAATGTCACTTGTCAGGTAAGTGCCTAACACTGAAAATAAGTACAGAGTTTAAAGTAACATGGGAGCTTGGTTTGTATACTATGCTGGAAACATAAGAACTCTGCTCCCTGCATGCTACATATAATCCTCAGTTCATCCACTGAGACTCTGGGCTTAGTTGGTAACTGATTATTAAATATTATAGAAGTAGAGATGGGCCTTGGAGGCTTTTTTCTTTATTCAAGGAAGAGTCTCACTATGTGGCCCATGCAGGCCATGAACTCTGGATTCTTCTGCCCAGCCTCCCAAGTGCTAGGATTATAGGTGTGCCCCACCATACTCGCCCATGAGCCTCTCCTGACAGGACTCCTACTGTTCTTTGGCATGGTTTTGCCAGAAAATAGAAGAGTAGATGGGTCCTGGGAGGCTGTGTCCTTCTCTTTGAAATGCTTGCTCTGTGGTCCACAAATTTTTATACTGGTCCTAGACAAAAGAATCCATGGGAGTACAGATTTAATACACTGAGTGAATAAAGAAGGCTGAGACCAGACTGACAGAGGGTGCTCTCTGAACTGCTTTGTTTGCTTTTTCTTTTGCCCAGGATGCACGGCGTAGGGGCACTCTCAGTGACTTGGGAAAGCAAGGTGAGGTGCTAAGAAACCAGGCCGCTCTAGCCTCTCCCTGGGGTTGATTGTGTTATTCCTTTCCACATCACCATTCTGGGATCAAGGCTGAACTATTCAGTTTTGCTCTCTTTGAAGAGAACCCAGGTGATGGGGGAGGAAGCCTTGAGGTAAGAGGACTTCCCAGAAAATGCTAACCTAAAGTTTCTTCTCTGGGCTCCTTTTCAAAGTGAGGTCAGTGAAGGCTCTGGTCATCACAGTTTTCAACTTCATTGTCACAGTGGCAGCTGCCTTTGTCTGTACTTACCTTGGAAGTCAGTATATCTTCACAGAAATGGCCTCGGTGAGTAGTTACTGGGCTGGGCCAAGTGCCCCAGGTGAGGGTTAGTGGGAAAAGGAGGATGTGGGTCGAATGGTGCAGGTTGGCAATTGTATGTTTATGTTGTAACTCAGGGGCACATTTAGCTTTCCAGCAGTCATAGGGATGGATAGCAGTCCCACAAGTCTTTCACAACTTAGGGACTGCAGTGGGGAGTTTATCCTTATTAGGGGTACTAATGGTTGTAGAGCTGGGTGCTGGCCTGTATCCCCTAAGCCTAGTTCTTTGCATCCCCAGCGAGTGTTGGCTGCATTGATCGTTGCCTCGGTTGTGGGTCTGGCTGAGCTGTATGTCATGGTGCAGGCAATGGAAGGTGAGCTGGGGGAGCTATGACTAGTGCTTCGTCATCAAAGTCTGGAAGAAATTTTGGAGACCCTAGACTCTCCATTGCCCAGCTGACTGTCAGACAAGCCATGAGGCTCTTTGTACTCAGCTCCAGTTAATCAGAGGACCAGGCCAGGCTCTCCTGTGGGGAGCCCTGTCTGCTGTGAATTCCAGGGGGAGCAGTTGCAGAGACTCAGACAAAGCTTCTCTAAAATTGAATGAAGTGGTCTCGGTACCTTCTGAACCCGGTGCCCACCTGCCTTCTCCAGTCCGTTCCGGGCACTGCTGGGACTGAGCTTTCTCCATCAGAAATAAATAGTATCCGGTCTTCCTAGAAGTGGACCCTACTTCCTTTACCTGTCCCAAGTGCAGAAATCAGTCACCATCCTTTGCCCACACATCTTGGTAAAGGACCTATAACTGAGAACAGAAGCCTTCAAGGAAGCAGAAAGCATGAACCTGAGAGGAACCCAGCAGAGGGTACATGTCAGGTAAGGGAGCAGTCAGCACAGCGTGGAGGAACTGGAAAAGGAGATGGTCTCTGCCCCTTTTCCTGAAGATAGAACAGGCTGAGAAATCACATGTCCAGCTATGGTCCTTCCTCTGTTAAGGGGAGCCAAAGACGTTCTGTTGTCCTGTGTCTCTTGTCTCTGCATAATGTTAAACTTTTGAGAACTTAGATAAGTGGTAGAATGATAGTGTCTTTATTAGGAACTTGAAGATTTTAGTCTGTTATTTATCCAATAAATATTTATTGTGTCTGGTGTGTTCTTATTCCAGATCCTGTAAGAACATAAAGCACAGACTTCCATAATTCTGAGAACTGTTCAAAGTGTGCTTTCTTGTTATTTGTGACAAGGTCTTGCTATATACCTCTGCCTTGACTCAGTATCCCTCCTCCCCTAGGATTCAGGTATGGACATTTTAGTCTGTTATTTATCCAATAAATATTTATTGTGTCTGGTGTGTTCTTATTCCAGATCCTGTAAGAACATAAAGCACAGACTTCCATAATTCTGAGAACTGTTCAAAGTGTGCTTTCTTGTTATTTGTGACAAGGTCTTGCTATATACCTCTGCCTTGACTCAGTATCCCTCCTCCCCTAGGATTCAGGTATGGACCACTATGT